TTACAGGGTTTAACTGAGGCATCATCATGTATAAAAGTGCCATGACTGGCAGATTGCAGCCGAGCCACAAAGCGCTGAGCGGCCGTCCTCGGCCATCCATCTCCAAGCATAGCAGACGCCGCAACGAGCAACCTGCGGTTGGCAGCCACAATCAACAGCCGGCGCTTTTGCGCTCTCAGTTCCTACGTGTTGCAGAAGACGAAGATTTCCAAGATTACCAAGAGCAACACCAAGATCCGGAAGAACAGCAGGACGCAGCAGTGGCTGCACCAGCGACCCCGCCATTTCCACCTCCGCATCATTCTGATCCGGATTCATCGACTGAGATTATGGCAGCAATAACGCAGTTTCACAATTCGTTGCTTGAATCGAATGCCAAACTCGAGCGCCTGATACAACAGGCTACAACGGTGTTGACCACTCAACACGAGGCTACCACGGCGATCCTCGCCTCGTGCAAACAGCAGCTCGACGTACTCGAAAGCCTCATCAGGCAAAACGCGCCTGACTGGTCGTGAATATGCTGCTAAGCTACGCCGGTATAAAAAGAGCCAGGTAGTGCATACTTCTCGCATTTCAACACATGTTGCTTTCAGACACACACCATAACTTTGCCTTCTGAAGTTTTTGCCTCAGAGTGACACCTATTGGAATCCCGACATCGAGCCATGAGCGAAGCATCTCTTCCGACAAACACAGCGACTACAGATTCGCCACCCGTCGATGAGGCACGACGTGAAGCTCTCTCCGAGGCCCTCATGGAGATTTTGACACAACATCGGGACTATGATTCAGAAACTGGAAGTGAACCTTCCACATTCAGTGACGGGGCTCTACGCGACCAATTAGCCGAGTTTATTCTGCAAACAACCAGGCAGATCACAGAGCTAAAGCAACGAGTGGAAAGACTCGAAGCTTCGCAACAATAGGTGGTTAACCATGTGCATACCATCATCGGGCGCTTTGCAGCGGACGGTGAAAACAATGATAGTCGTTTTTGCCAATTGTTACAGTCAGTGCATTCACTTCACATATGTTAGGTATGCAGCGATTGATGCACTCTTTCCCGCAGCATTTTGAAAAACAACCAGTTGTGTTAGCACCATGGAACAACGCACCAGATCGCGATCTCCGACGGCATCACAATGGAGATGGCATTGGGCCACTAACGGCTCTTCATGGTGGCGTGAGTACTTTATCGCATCTCAAGAGTGGATACGAAAGCATTCGGAGCAACCTGATCAGCGTCCGACATCAACGACTCCTACCCAAAAGGAGACAGTATCTACTACATCAACTCCTACATCCAACAAGCGAAAGCGATCAAGAACTCCGTGAGCAGCATTGCTGAGTTGACAATTAGATGCACATTTGCTGCCCCCGGCAGCCAACAACCACACAGCAAAGCTGTGCTACGAACTCCATCATATCTGATGAGGTTCAACATTAAGAGCATCATGTCGAAAGGTCATACAGGTCTGCGCGGTTAATCAATTGATGTCTCTGTGTACCTTTCTCTCTCTTCTGAAGATCAGCGTATGCACATGCCTCAATGCAGTTGTGACTCCGCAGCCATTTCTCAGAACTACAGTTGCTGAAACACATTAGTATCGCACACAGATGGACGAGGACGACGACAGCAGCCTATGGGGATCCGAAGAGATTGATGCCTTCTTGAGGAAGGATGACACCACCACATCCTCCCATGCAGTCAGTCACACACACAAGCAAAAAACAAAGCACACAACGAGGACAAAAAAGAAGAAAGACAACAAAGACAAAAAGGACAAAACAGTCATGAAAACAAAGAAAACACGTAACATCTCACCACCATCCCAATCCACAACACAGCAACGACGCCAACATCCACACACTACAAGACGAAAGAGGACACGCTCTTCGCATTCAACATCATCAGCGTCACCTACGGCAACGTCACACATGGCTGAGGACGCACACCGGTCTCCATCTCGAGATCCTTGGTCTTCTGACTCGATTGCACCTTACGATATTGTGCATCCTACTATTCAGCACAAGCGGTCCAAAACCGCTTGTGCAAAAATGCTGGTACGTGCAGGATTTAGGTGTCGATGCCATTTCAAGATCATGAGTGACTGTCCCAACAAACTCGCTGTTGGACCCTAATTCTCAGGACGGATTAGGGCTGCAAGATCCGCTAAGCGTGACAAAAAAGCCTGCGCATGCGAGTGTCAGGACGACACCACTTTGTTGTTTTGCCAGAGCACACATCATGTCCATGTTGATTTGCATTCCTTGTTCAAGCTTTTGTCGGTTGGTAGCAGCAAAAATATGACAAAGCGAAAGGCTGCCGAGGCCGGCCTTCCATGGTACTCCATGGCAGGACAATGTTTTCGGATGACTGTTGAAATTCCACCCGACCGCATCACCAGAGACAAGCACATGTTCTTACACGTGGTGCTTTGTCTGGGTGACAACGTTCTCCAAGCTCGCAAGATCTTCTCCTACCGCATCAAGGAGATCACCGGCAGAACTCCTAAAATCCCAGCTTTCTTCTTCGAACAAAACCGTCGACGACTACATGATTGGGATTCAGTCACCACATTAGCCACGTTGATGCCGGTGCTTTTTGTTAGAACCTGTTCGGATCAGGAAATACGACAATCACCCGATCGCTATTGACAGCGAGAAAAGTGCGCCATTCACTCCTATTGCCGTGCATCAGACCTTTCACTCTACTTGAAGCATGTACGCCCCATTGGGGCTGTGTGTGTGTGAACCTCCCTAGCACATGGGAGCAGAGGGTCACTCCTACACTGTTTGCAATTTCGCTTTTCAACATAATCCGGCATTGGACATTTACCAAATCAACTGTTGCAGGGGGATCAGGCTTCCAGTGACTGACCTGATCCAACGAAGCTAGGTCACTGGAAGGGAAGTGATTGAGGACGCTCAGTCATGTACCTGCGCAATTTTCGGCAGCCCCCTGTGGTGCCAAGATTAGTTTGAGGACAGGCCCCCTGTGGTGTCCAGATTATACAAACAAGTTGTACGGTTGCCACAATCTGAAAAACTTTTGCAACATGAACAACATGCCTCTCTTTTTCCTCTTGCACTCGTACTCTTGGCCGAATCCATCAGTGTGGGAACCTCCTTAGCACATGGGAGCAGAGGGTCACTCCTACACGGTTGCAGGGGCATTGGGCACTCCTTGGCAGACCCAATGCAACGAAGCTATGCCATGGAGTGGGAAGCAGTTCAGGACGCTGAACTGCGTACCTGCAAGCTGGGCCCCCTGAGGCAGCAAGATTAGAAAACGCTGGCCCCCTGAGGCAGCAAGATGAGAAAAAAGTTGGCCCTTTGAGGCAGCAAGATTAGATAACAACATACAACATACTCTCCTCTTCCTTGTTTCGCTCTTACTCTTGGCCGAATCAGTCAGTGTGATCAGCGTGGGTCATGAGACTCCAGAGCAACGGCTTTCCGTCAAGGCCCCGTGGTGACCCTTCGTGGGAAACCGGTGATGAACCGGATTGTTCAGACCTCCGTGCAGACGTTCAGATCTCGACGCTATTTATTCCCCTCTCTCTCTGATGCTCGCATGCGAGTCTGACACGAGTGCAGGTGCAGTAACTGGCGTCTAGTGCAGTAACCGGCCGCTAATGCACAGGACTACCTCGCTATTCTGCCGTCCTTATTCTGTCTCTTCCTTCTCAGGGAATGCAAAGGCATGTGCGACTGACATGAGTGCAAGTGCAGTAATTTTTCGGCTAGTGCAAGGGACTGCAGCTTCCTGCGGGAAGTAATTGGCCATCGGTTTTGCGCTCTCGCATCTCTCTCCCCTAACCCCGGACCTTAATTTGAAGCCCACGCAGGACGTGGCACCTCTAGTTCCATCGCTCCTGGGTGCTTTTATGCACAGCTGGAGGATGGTCCACCGCTCCTGGGTGTCTTTGTTACACAGCTGGACGGTGGAAAACCCTAATCCTGCTACTGGCCTTGGACCCTGCTCGGGTAGCTGGGCAGTAGTCACTCCGTTCTTGGGCCTTTACGGGCAGCTGGAAGGAGTGTCCTCACCCTAATCTCACCACCCTAATCACAACATACAACTACATGTGCAATACATTGGTCAAATGATGCTAGCCCTGGACCCCTTCGAGGGTGGCTGGGTAGCAGTTTCCTTTTAACCATCATAACTGTCGCCTTTGGGGGCCGTCGCGCCCAGCTGAGGGACAGCCCCCGGCTGGATCTGGGCCCTCGCAAGGGCAGCTGATCAGCCTTCCTTCCCCTCTGTCGCTTCTGGGGGCTTGCGTGCCCAGCTGAAGGACAGTCCCGAACCCTAACTTTAACGCCTCACCACAGCCTGGACTACCACAACATTGCTACATTTTGGACCACGTCGACAAGCTTTGCAAACGGGCATTGCAGCCCACAGGGTTTTGTGGTTTAGTTTGGGTTCGTTTAGGTTTTGGAGCCCGGGTGCGGCTTTATTCCACTGCACACAGTCGCCCCAAGGTGGGGCTGTGTGTGTGTGAACCTCCCTAACACATGGGAGCAGAGGGTCATTCCTACACGGTTGCAGGTGCATTGGGCACTCCTTGGCAGACCCAATGCAACGAAGCTATGCCATGGAGTGGGAAGCAGTTCAGGACGCTGAACTGTGTACCTGCAAGCTGGGCCCCCTGAAGCAGCAAAATTAGAAAACGCTGGCCCCCTGAGGCAGCAAGATGAGAAAAAAGCTGCCCCCCTGCGGCAGCAAGATTAGATAACAACATACAACATACTCTCCTCTTCCTTGTTTCGTTCTTACTATTGGCCGAATCAATCAATGAGTGTGTGGGGCAATGTACATCATGCAATTGCAGTAACATAAAAGAAGAAGGTTACCAGAATGATGAACAGTAGCAAGCCATGTTTACTTTCAGGGCTTGTGTGGCGACTTCCTTCTTTTCAATTTATGCTCATCGACCGTACAGGGTGTGTGATTGGGGCAGTGCCCAGAGCGCGAAATTCGGTCGCAGGATTCCTTCCAATCGACGGTGCTTGCCTTGGGACAGGAGCATTGATGCGAGCCCGTGAAAACTCCTACGCTACTTCCCCAGCCCAGGTCCTCATAAGCAAGGATGAAGCTGATCCGGAGGAGCATGTTGCTTTGCGGGCGCATCTTCTCTTCGGCAGCAGTCCCGAATCTTCTGTTGACTGCTCGTCCTCTGCTTCACAGGAGGTCAGGCGCCCGAGCAACAACGACAGTGTGACGAGGGTGCCCCTTGTGACGCCCATGTCCCTACCACCAATGTAAGATCAAACGCCACGAAGCTTACGTCAAGCTATGATGAGTGTTAGGTGTATGCAGGTATTAGCAGCTTGTATGCTGGTGATTGAGATGCATTGCAGGAAAGTTTGGTTGAAGGCATCGCTGCAGAGTCGCAGGCGACCTCTTCGCAGGCGCATTACTAATGACCTGTGGGTGGATTGCCGTGGCTGGTGGATAACATACCCCGCTGAGGCAAGACGCGGGACCCTGTTTGATGCAGCCGACTTGGCCAAGAGCTGGAAGAGGTCGCGGCCTAGTGCAGCTAGGGTATGAGCACTCTCGCGATGGCAGTGCTTCCTCGTCGGTTACCCCGCTGTAAGAGCAAATTCTTCTCATCCGACTCGTTGTGTTTTGGACTTTGCGCTCGCCTTTCGTTGGCATTTGCAAGCATTCGCCGGGCTTATTGTACGAGCAGCTTTCCTCAGGTACGCTGGCACGAGTGGACAGCAAGGATAGGTAGCTGTCAAAAGGTTTCTCAGCAATGTCAGGGCTTTCAATGCGGAATCACGACAAGTCTCCAGTACTTGGATGCTGCGGGTCTTGCTGAAAGCTTCTCTCAACAAGAAATAACGAACGGTGGAATGATTTAGCACGCGTGCGGGCCTACGGCTCTTTACTAACCGTCTGTTGCCAAGCGTGTTCATTCGGATCATGCTACCATGTTCGCCGTATTTCATGGTCCACTACGGCATAACTCCCAGGTGTTCCCTTTAAATCGTCATGGCCGTGTCACTATTAAGGAAGAAGCGTTTCATATTAACTACCGTTGATGCTAGACATCCTCATCCCGTACCCCAAGCCGATCGTCGTCTTTCTGACCATGTAGCTTTAACTTCGGGCGATGGGTTTCAAGATGCTGTCCGTCTCCAACCAACATAGCTCAAGAGGATTCTGGTTTCACATCTTGGGTGACTGGGCAAATTGTTACGTTTGCCTGGGCTTGTTTGTCCACAAGAGTTTGAGGTTGTCCTCGGACTTCTCAGCTGGCGTTGGCTCCTCAGGGCTCGTTCTCGGGCGAATGGAGCTGTGGATCCGCGATCATGGATACAGCACGCATCGACGCAGAATGCGCTCGAAGTCATGGTCACACATGTCTACAGTTTTGATCTACGCTACCCTTGTGTTATGAACATTGCCACAATCGGCTTCTAATTTATTTTATTAGCGCCTGCATAGTCTTGCTTCTCCTGATCTAAGAGTCCAGTTTAAGATGTCAAGGGGCAGCTGTTGAGTTGTGCGGCTTTGTCACAGCCAAGGGCTGTCAGTCTGATGTCACAGGGGTCTGGAGCAACGACAGACGGTTTGGACGGCAGGGCGGCTGTCTTTGATCATCATCTGTTCTTGATTTCAATGAGGCATGCTCCTGCAAGGACCTTCAGCCTTCAGCCTGTATATCCGCATATTAACATGTCGTCGTATCTCGCATTTGTTCGGGATCAGATCGTCCTGAATTGGGCGTTTGTTCTTAGTCTCTTTATGCAAGGTCCTGTCTGCTTGAGAGCTGTTTTGCGGAAGGTAACTCCTGAAGGTGTGAAGGGGCTGCCAGCCCTGTGTAGATGCATAAACTGTGAGTCGTAAGCGTGCCGCGACTTGTGACTGATTTGCGGAGGTAAGGTGCCGCAGTAAACCGAGCATACGGAGCTGCTCCTAGGAGCACATGGATTTGGCTTGTTCACGACGCAGTCAGCTCACCTCAGACTGCAAAGCTCCTCGCTTCTAGCCTCGGCCTGACATCGACGGCAGCATGCATGATCGGCCCTGAGTCATGTCTCACAAGCTCACCGCCAAGGATTTGCGAAGCTTGAAGACCAGGGAACAGCGTGACATGCAAACATCCACACAGAAGATGAAACTTCACCACAACTGTCATGTTTTCAGATGTGGAAACCTGGAGCTCCTGTCGAACTTTGCAGAGGTCGCATCCTTTACGGAAGCCTTGAGATCGGTACCGACCCCTGAGGCTGGCACCTGCTCGGCATGTTTACATGTTTCGGCGTTGATCACGCCCTGGTTCTTGCAAACCGGTTTTCTTCCTTTGTGACACTGGGCCGTGTGAGGCCTTATGTAGGATCCAAATTGTGGCCCTCCGTGAGGCCAGCTGGAGAGGGGCTCGCGATCACGAGCACTCGAGTGAGGCTGCCCTTGCGGCTACAGTCACCGCCAGTTGACCGACACAGAAGCTGTCTCCACTGTGGTGAGTTCTAGGCTCAGTATCACGTATCAGGTTACTGCCTCTGGAACCCCTAGTGGTGTGCCATAAACTTAGTGCACTCTCTCTCTCTCTCTCGCTCTCTCTCTCTGTGCAGTTGTGCAGTTCAGGCCTCGTAAGTATAGAGATGAAATGCTGAAAACTTCGTCCGTCAACGGCACTGCAGGCCGCTTCTTCGAGCCAGGGCGATAGGCGCATTTTGTCTAGTCCGTCGCTTCGGCGGCTTGGTGTCGTTACCAGGATCTGATAACTTTACATATGAGTCACGGCATGAAGTTGGCTCGGCTGAGGGCTTGCAGCACTTCGTTGTGTCCAATATCAATGTTCAGTGTGTCTATTGTGAGTGCATGTGGCGCAGCCCAAGTCTTGGCCGGCAGGTTTAGTTCCACGAGCTTGGACACTTTGATGAACGAGGCAAAGCATAAACTCGGGATCCTTCTAGACTGGATATCTGGTGCAGCGTCTTGACACAGGCCCATCTGCCCTTCCGGCAGTTGCTGGAGGAAGTCCCAGACCCTGAGGCTGCTCGAGAAACTGCAACTTAAGCCAGCTACTGCCCAGGGCCTATCGCATTGTGCAGAGGTTGCAGGGTAGAGATGGGCAGCATGCAACAGTCTAGCAAAGAATCTCGACAACCGCCACGCAGAACACCCCGGGTGGCCTCCTGGCCGCCTTTCCGCGGCTCTGGCGGCTTTGCATGCCACAGGCGAACATGCATACGGTGGTCAGGGACTAAAGTGATCTTCAACACAAGAGGCCATTTTCTTCAATGCCGCCTTGCTATCCTGGAGTATCTTCATTTCCTTTCTTGGCTTCGGTTTTCATACTGATGATGCATCATCTCAGATTCATCTCAGCAGCATAACCGCTGCGCCAGCAAGTGTAATCTCTTGTTTTTCCTTTCACAAACCGGTTTGCAGGAGCCCCAAGCCGCGGGTCCTGCGGCCGACACAGGCCTCAAGCTTGCTACGGATCACAGTCGTTTTCTGAAACATCTCGGTCGGGGTCCGTGCTACTCGTAGTGCGAAGAGTTGCACCATTTCAAAAAACCAGATCCTTAAGGATTTCAGTATTCTGTTGCAGATGTCATTTCCTGATGACGGCTCTGCCTGTCAGCTCGTACGTCGTACATGCCAGGTGATGATGCAACGAGTGCAAGCTCTTCTCAGGCGTTTGGTGCCCGAGTCTCATGTCTGCGGCGCAGGCAGCTGAACAGCTTCAGGCTGGAGTCTTTCGTGCATGTTCGCCGTACTGAACTTTCGAAGAATTCCGACGTGACGCCATCGTTTCGCATAGGTCGCAAGGCTCAGGAGGGAGTCTGTGTGACTCAGCGTCGACAGAGGTCCTCGCCGTTACGTCTCTCATCCCACATGTTACTATGCGGCGTCACATAACATCCTGAAGCGCACAGGGCTTTCCGGCAGACCTTCATTTCATCGACACGAGAGTTCCTCAGAATTTCATGTCGTCACGCCTGACACTCAGGCGCAATCGCCTCTTTTTTCTGCAGTTGCCAGCACCTCGGTGTCTCTTGCTGGCTCTGTGGTGTGCTTCATCCACTGCATAGGTGCGTGCACGCCTTGTTGGACATCTCCTTGGGTGTGCGCTGCTCAGCTTTGCCAGCACCTTGGCACCTTCTCTGTGACTTCCACTTCCTAGGCCACGAAGCCGTGTCCTCTGAGCTGACAGCGGAAGAAAAGCAACTCTGGGACCCCTGTCTTCACTTTGGCTGGCGGGCAACTGTCGAAGCTCGAAAGCCGAACCCGTCTTGCTGGCAGGATGTTTTTGTTGGCATTGACCACAACTTGGCGGGTTCGATGATGGTCAGCCTAGAATCTGCAGGCCTCATTGGGTTGGCGGGTAGGTTGGACCAGTCTGCACACATGCACTCTGATCTGGCAGAACGACCGATTCGTCCTGTGTCCATGTGCCTTTGATTCCGTGACCGTGGCTGCAGACGACCTCTGCGATGCGCTGGCATCTGTTTCCTCCCGAAATCATGCGGAGGCAAGCGGCGCTTTGTCAGATCATTCTGAGAAAAGGTCAGATGCCTTTGTAGCAGTGCGTCACAGTCAGTGCACGCCAAGTTGGAGTTCAGACACTTCTTAAATCTTCTGGGTCCGGGGTCCTACAAGCCTGTGCACGCTTGCATACCGAGGTGTCCATGGATGTGCATATTAGGAGCTTGAGGATTGATCATTTGGTCAACGTCGCTCATCCCCGTTGGGTCCTCTTGTCACTGCCAGGCCTGTGTGAAAGCTCTAGCAGAGCGTGTTGATGATACCGGCGAGTGCGACTTCGCTGACCTGCGCTGACCTCGGAGTGCATTGAGCATACCAAACAGTATGTGAGCCGCAACTCTGATCCTTTTTCAAGACAGGTTGCTGTGTGCCGGGTGCAACAAGGCACAGCATACGAAAGTCTATCCGTTGAGGCTTGATGTCTGGGAAGCCGCGAAACAACCCGACCAACTGTGGCAGTTCCGCAGCAGTCTGCGAAATGGCCGGGGGCGCAAGTTCAGTTTCGGCACGTCACATTCGAAGGGTCTGAGCTGCAGTGACGAACACATTTGGATCCCCGGTAAATGCCCAGAAGTTCCGAAAGTGCCTCCAAGAAGCAAGCCGCTTGAGGTCTGTCGAACCTGCTGGCAGGCTCATGCAGACAAGCTTGTTACCTTTGCCTCGGCCACATCGCTCAGCTCGATCTGCCAGGTGCCGGAATTACTGAGGCAGCATCGTCACGAGTTCCAGAGATGCGAGTTTTGGGCCTAGCTGCACAAGTCTGGGACATCGCCGACATGTGTGATCATGTGACCCGAGTCTCCTTCAGACCGTTTTCAGATGACTGTCCACCCGCTTTAGCTTCTAGCCGCCATGATGTCATGTTTCTTGTTTGCCGCTATGTCGCCCCCTGGCTTATCTGTCTAGGGTTGAACCCACCAATAACCATGAGGCAGTTGTCTGCATACACGAGGGTAGTGCGGTCGGACTCTTTGATTTGTTCCAAACTGCACGTTTCTTGACCTGCATAGCATGGGCGGAGGAGACGCAGGGAAGCGTGATGTCCCATGCGTCATTGGCATTACAGGTCGTGTCAATGTGTCTTGCTTCCCATTTCCACGGGGTCCATGGGTCATGGGCTTTTGTCCCTCTGGTTGCACGAGGCTCGCTGTGCTCGGCTCTCTGATACTGCATTGGCAATGTCAGCTGCAGCGTACCAGCGTGCCTTGGCTCGGACCTCGGTCGATGGCCGACCGTCTGGACAGAGTGTCTGAGCGTCTTGGCAGATTCTGGCCGCAGGTGTTGACCTGCAGCTGGCACTGTGAACAGCGGCTCCAGTCCTTCCTGATGACCAAGGCGACAAGGATTTTTTTGTTTCAGTCAAGTTGTCAGCACTTCAGTCGCAGGGCAGCCCGACCGAGCGGTCCCGCTCCGAAGTCAAGGCTTGAAGCACTCGTGCTGGTGGCTGTCTTATGCTGCTCTGCACAGTAACAGAGTATGATGTTCAAGACGCCTTCGCAGCAAAGCTGGCAATCAAGGGCAGTTATCTTCCAAGACCTGCATGCATGACTTGTGTTTTCTAGGGCCGAAGGCATTGAGAGGACCCCTTCCACGACCGCAGTGTGCGTGCGCTTGTGTTGCTGCCAGTCCTTGCTGGCGGTTCTTCGGGGAATTCACTCCGAACTGGTCCCCACGGCTGCAGCCTCAGATGGGTATTCGATGAGATGACAATAGTATGTCCATGGCAACATGGGGCTGTAGTGGATGCAAACTCCGGCGTGAGACATCTCGAAGCGTCGCGTTCTCACAATGTCTCAGGAGCGCGTGCTTTGGGAGCTCATGGGTCAGCAGCAAGAACACTTCGATGGAACAGTGGGGAAGGAAGAGGTGGAGCGGAGCAGCAGAGCGCGTCCATTGCATCTCTTGGAAAAGCCATGAGATCAGTGTTGCAACTGCATCTTTCTAAATCCCAATGATCTTATAAGCTCGCGCAGTCGTGCATGTCTTGGACCGAGCTTGGTCAGGTGCTCTCAGCACTGGAGGAGTTGTTGGGCGATCTTGGACACGCTTGTGGCTAACTCCTGGCTCCCAGTGCCTTCGGTTTCGGTAGCTGTGGTTCCAATCGCAACATCCAGGCTGCTGTGCCAAGACTCGTATTTGTCTCGCATGTCCCTTTTGAGCTACTGGCTGAGAGGTGCTTGCTTTCTTAAGATGTCTACTGCATGGCCATCGTGCCGTGTTCTCGTGTGAGACAGCTTCGTCCAAGAAGCACTTCAGTTTCTCGAGTTCCACGATAGAGCGAACAGTCGTGAATTCACGGGTTTAAGCTCTTTGAACAGTGGTAAGTCGTAGTCGTCGTAGTCATAGCCCGCCGCATCAGACTCAGAGCCGCACTGAGAAATAAAGCACTTCAGTGGAACTTCGCCAGGTTTCCACGAAGAAGATGCGAGGGCATCGCCGGGTGAGCTCGAGGAGTGTGTTGCTCGCAGGGAGTTGTGTGCAACGGAAGTTTAGAGTCTAGGTTCATGGCATGATGATGTGTAGAGGCGGGTATGCTCTGAGCTGGAGTTGTTCCTGAAACTCAGTTGGGGCAGCTGGGGTAGCTGCTTCTTAACCTTGGCGAATCTGGAATCAAGACAATAACCCCTCTGTGCTGTTTGCTTAGGTCCCTTTTTTCGTGTGCAGAGCCACTGAGAGATCATGCCCGTCGCCCATACTGTGGAGGTGGTTTTGACGAATTCAGACCGACGACACGTGCATCGCCACACCCTTCATGCCAGAGAGGCAAAAGTGGAAACCTCACCCAAGCCGCCAGCTTTCTTTTTCACAGACGGCGGGCCAGGCCTGCGGAATCTCATCGGGAGCCGGAAAAGAATTCACTAAGCAGATGGCATAGGGTGTAAATCTATGCACGCAAGATTACACCAAGGGGGCTTTCCGGCACGACTTCAGCGAAGTCGCGTAGTCATCGTTGGTTCGATGATGACAGGTTCGGAAGACCATGCTTCGGGTCTTTGTCAACATCACGTCTTCTTTCAATGCATTCCATGCCTCTTCTCCACGAACACTGCGCCGTGCAAAATACTTGTGCTGAAGTCGTTTTCGGCAGAACACGCAGCAACGGGAGAGACCATGGACTCAACAGACTTCCGCACACTCCGTGGTTTTGCAACGACAAACAGCATCAATGACCGCTTGTACTCAGTTTACAAGGGATGGACCCACGACTTGCCCTAGACCACGCCAGCCGAAAAGACAGAGGAGCTTGGCTTGCTTCGTATCCGGCTTTCTTGTGAGCGCTCAAGTAGTGACCTTTGGCTGTTGCGGTCGTCTTGCCCAGTGTAGGATGAATGACCTTGACCTTTATTGCTAAAGATGGGAAGTGGGAATTCTCGTATTCTCTGGGCCACGTGCCGCACCGGTGAAGGGGGGGTACTGATGGGGCACTTCTCAGCTTGCCAGGAACTCGGCAGGCTTCGTCGGCAGTGCCAGCGAAGGTCTGTCGACAATTTGTTCGACGATCGTGGGAGGACGGTCGCCGGCTTCTCAGACAAAGAAGGCCTCACGAGATGCAAACGGTTCGTTGGTTTGACTTCCGCTCGTCCAAACAGTCTGCCTCGTTGATGAGTTTGCTTACAGCTCGAAACCCATGCTTTGATAAAGAGCTCCGAAGCATGAGCTCATGCTGAGCCAACACCGGCCATCAACAACACTCTCAAATTGTACCGCGAGCCGGGTGCATTTCCCAGTGAGGTCGCATTTGCTGACGTGCTGCGCTGGTGGTGGGACATGCCGGAGGACCTGAAGCTAGCCAGTGCTACTTGTACGATTCTCTACTGCATTGCAGCTTGAATGCTATGCTTGGACTGGCTTTGAGCTTTGCAGGAGTACCGAGAGGCCGCCGGTCTGGCGGTTCCAGCTCCTTAGCCGTCCGATCTTTGTGCTAGTTTTTGCAGATGTAATCAGCCGCCGTTGCTGTGGTGTATCTGCTGCGCATGGCTCTGCACTAAGGCTTCCGTGCTGCGACAAAGCTTGCGACGGCAGCCGGAAGAGATGTCAGTCCCTGAGATTTTGCAAGGTGATAGTCAGATTTTTGTGGCATGTTGGCGGCGGATTTGGAAAGCGTATACACCGGCCTTGCACTGCCTTTACTGGACTGTCGTCCTTCAGACGGGTAAGTTGCGACGTCCCTAGAAGCACCCTGAAGCGGGCCTAAGCTGTTGAAGCTTTCCGAGAACAATGCCACAGACAGTTGAGGAACCACGGTGTGCAGCCGTTCCGTGGGTGGTGCTGTGGTCGTTTCTGGGATGTAGTTGCTCCTGAGGTTTCGTGGTGCATTGCGTCGAGTCGCCGCCGAGCCAGCTTTTGCCCGGCAGGCGAGTCCGACTGGCTGAAGTTAACTCGACTAGTAGACGAGCAGCTGTGGGGGTTTTGCATGCGTGTCGAACTCTGCATCAGATGGGTGCTTCAAGCTTGGAAGCTGTTGCAGGCTCTTCGCGGTCATGTCCGCGCTTTTGCAGAGCTGAGGGCATTGGCCGTGAGGCGCAGCCTTCGTCCATGTCGGCGTTGGCGTTTATGCTGGGTGCATGGGCCCAGGCGGAACATCGAGAGTTTCTCCATCCGCTCTACTGCAGAGTCTCGCACCACGCTGGCGGCTTGGTCGGTGCAGCAGCTGCCAAGTGTTTGCAAGGGAGCGGGTACAGTTCACGTTTCTGTACTCACACGGTGCCAAGGACGAGTGATGCAGGTGACATCAGCCTGCCCCTCAGGAAGCGATCCATAGCGATGGTGGCATCGCGTCTCTCCTGCCAGGTCTGGCGACTTCGGAGGACCAAGCAGACTTCCAGGAGGCATACAGCCCGGGGGAGCCTCAGTCAGCCGTCGATCCGTGCTTTGAATCCGAGGAGGAGGACGAGGCTTCCGACACGCAAAGTGCCGTCACTTCCCCGGCCCGGCAGTGCGGGGCCTGAACGCGTCAGTGTCGTGGATTTGGGTCCTGCGGGCCCGCCCTCGGTGAGATGTCCGGCTTCAGCAAAGTTGAGGCCATCTGGCTCTTTTAAGCCAGTCGGATGTTTGCCATATCGTTTAGCTGAGACAGGGAATTCGCATTGACATAGACATAGTCGGTAAACGCAGCACTAAGACACCAGCAGGAGAGCGGAAGCAGTTTCCTGGATCACTCTTGCACCTCACAATGCTGCAAGTTCTTCGGAGGAAGGTGGCGGTGCTGGGCAGAAACTATCATGGTCAGAGCTCGCTATCTGTCAGTCAATTCGCCCAGCTCCGCCAGCCAGTGTAAACGTGCGCTGCACCGTGTGGTGCATGCGACCACACGGGCCAGCTCGGTCCGTGCTCGGACGCCATTGCCCAGCATTGCAAGTCGTGGCATTCACGGCGTCTGTGACGGTCCGCAGAAAAGCAATTTCGCGCAGGACCAAGGCCCCTTGTCTAGGTGAGCCCCTCCATGATTCGCTTTAAGCAGGGTATGAGGAATATTATGCAATGTTTCAAGAGATGGCAACTTCAGGGTGACCTTGGCACGGTGCCCGAGACCTGTGCGTATCATTTTCAGAATGGGCAAGGAAGATTGAATCTCAGGTTGAAGCGCTCAGCACTCGCAGCAGTGCCGCTCAGGGACAGGAAGCTTGTTTCACCGGATGCATTCCATCCGGTGTCTTAGCATGGACAGCTTCATAGCAACGAGACAGGGAATGCTGCGACTCTGTCTTTGTAGACGGTCCCGAGCTTCCTGCAAAGAGAAGACATGGCAGCATCTTGGAAGCATCTGTCCCTTCACAGAATCACTTGCAATTCAACGCTTGCTGTCGTTCGAAGTTCCCCCAGAGGCAAATCGTTGACTTGGATCGCAATGTGCTTTCGCTGACTGTTGTTGCCTTTTGGGTGCTTGCACTTTCGCTCATCCTCGGGGTGGCTGTGAAATTAACAAACACGGGCGAGACACTCTCAATGTCAGGCGTCCGTACCAGAAGCGACATCACAAGCAGCACTGTGTGAACGATTTCGTGAAGCTGTTTGAAGCTTTGAGACGCAAGAGTGTACCGCTCCGTCTGATAACGACCGCGGATCTGCGCCTAAATCTCAAGGTGCACGGGTTTTCCGCATTTTCTTACGGACGGCAGCAATCCAATTGTCGCCGACAGCAGTGCATCAGGGCTGGTTCTGGCTAAGCTGAGCTGCAAGAACGCAACACCTCGGACTGGGGAATTCATGCCGACTTTTTTACTGTGTGCCATTGTGGGAGAACGCATTAGAACATCACAGGCTGCGCAGTCCCCAACAGCCGCCGAGATGCCCCAGTCAAATCCAGCATGCCAGTCCAGCGTGATCTCTTACCCTGTGCGGTGACGAAAGAACTTTATTCTTCGGCAAGCGGCGAGCGGTCAGCACTTGTTGATGTGAGATCTGACGACATGGCAGCCTTGGCGGGCCCAATTGTATAAGTTATCCCATTTCTCTCCAAGTCTCAGACCAAAAGCCATCGGACTATGCCGCAAATTGAGCCATAGTGTGCAGTGAGCCTCGGGTGCTGTGCCAGTAGCAGCCGAAAAGCCGGCTGGCCATGGGGGTGCGCGGCCTGCTGAGCTATGTACTGCGGCATGCCGATGCGATGACCCAGCGGGTGGATCTTGCCCAGGAGGCCCAGTACTACGGTCGTAACGGCCCCTTTGACCGCATCACTTCTCTAGCAGTGATCGTGGCATGACCATGTCAACAAGCCGTCGGGCTTATCTTTTTGTCTTCTGCGGCCGATCAGGCTGCAGTGCAAGATCCCCAGCCCCAGTCCTGCACCACCACGGGTCCATGCTCTGGCAGTGTTCTGGGCCTCCTAAACGAATCGGGCAAGGTTTTATTTGCTTTGCCCATCCTCAGGTTTTTGGTTACATCATATCATTCCCGTACATGCCTCACCAGTCTGAAATCGTGTGTCGGAGCAGCACCATATCATTTGTTGAAGTAATGGAGCTTCTTCAGCTTGACTCACGGGTGTTCTTTTCTCGTTCCCAACAGTTTCGTTCCAAGCAGAACAGAAGACCAAAGCAGGGTTAAGGAGGGATGTTTTTACGAGACACACCAAAACGAACCACAAGCAAAAGACGGTTATATCTGGCAAACTTGGTTGCATGTACAGCACTTGACTGTAGTTGCAGCTTGTGACTTCGAAGCACTCAGTGACTTTGACCCGTGATCTTGCACTCATAGGTGGGCATAAGCTTCGGACCAGGAAATGCCGTAGGCCCGTACAGAAAAGACGATGAGCCGGGCGGCCAACACGACCCTTTCGTCACACGCATGTCGAGTCCGGCTGTTTACCCAAAAACATCATTTCCCGAGGTGTGACGTTGCTGGTGGACATCCTGGACTTTTGTGCTCGGTTTCTTCCGGAGGCGCAATCTGCCGAGACTGGCGAAGTTTGCTTGTCGCACCTGGCGCATCCTGGCTCTGTAGTCGGATGTCTCATCCTTCGCGCTGTTTCCGGAACCAGAATCAAGACAATGGCGGGCTGTGTCTCTGCAGGTGGATCGTTGCGCTAAGGGCTGGGAGGGAGATGCCACGCTCCAGATCCTCGGCTCTGCGAAATTCAGAAAGGTCCTTTGAGAGATGTGCCCCCAGTCGTTGCGCCACGCCGAGTCTTGTTGGGAGAAAGTGAGGCTGCAAACTTGCCTGGAGAAACGGTTTTGTTAGCATGACTGGGAAGCAGCAGCCCTGAGTCTGAGGCCCGTGAGGTTGCTTCCCGATTTGCTGCAGAATCTGCCTTGACCCGTAAAGTGCAACCTTCCCGGTATCTCAGCGACAAGCGGTCCCACCTGCTTTTGGGAATCATGCAGTTGAGTGATGCCTTGTTTGGCCTGCTTGTTCGTGCTGGGCCTACCGCTTCTGACAACCATGTGACAACCAAGGGTCTGTGGGAGCGACTTCGTCCAACATGACGAGGCGCTTTGCGAGCTTATCTTCGCCTTGCGGCATGCAGGCCGAAAGGGAGAATCCGTTGTGTTTGCAGGTTTTGGACAAGGAAACTATGCGTACAATTCCTAGGATCGACTGTGCCGAATCATCGACAGTATACAGTATAGTTTTTGTGAAACGTGAAGCAGAAAGACACGCATGCAACATGGCACCTTGCACCTCCTTCGTGCACTTCTCAAAGCCAGCTGTGACTGACGGTTTGTCTGAAAAGCTTGCACTGTTGCCGCAATGTTGGCAAAGCGTGTATCGGGCGCTGCGAACATCATGTTTAAACTGGCTTCTTGTCAGTGCCAGCGAACTCGAGACTCTTCTGGCATCCCGCCGGTAGGAATTCCAGAAAATCAGTTCAACACTCTACGATTCTATCGGGACGAGTCTCGGAAGACTCTGGCATACGCAAGCCTGAAGTTTTGTTTTTCAGGCATTTACCTGGAGTTCTTCTTGGATCCTCCCCGCGGCTGCGGGCTCCTCGATGCGGCCACCAGTGCCTGGACAGAGGAGGCACTTCTGAAAATTCAGGGCTCTTCTTTCTCATCACGCTTGTTTGTTTAATTCGTTTTTTGTTTCGGCTCACTCGGAGGGATGTGACACCACACAGCGAGATTCTCCGGAAGTAGCCTAAAGCTACTTGCAGCACCTTTGAAGACTTCGTGGTGTCAGGCATTGGCTTTGGAAGCAAGGCATAGAGGCAAAGATCTGCCCGCCACTTCAAATCCTAAAGTTGACACAACACAAACTCACTTCGATGCAAGGCTGGCGAAAGCAGAAACCTCGCCTGTGGTTTCTGCCCCCTGAGAGCCCCTGGAAACAGCGTCGCAGGCCAAGCGCCGTTGCAGCCAGGGCCTGGAAGCCGCGAAGGCAAGAGCATGCCGGAGCTAGAGAGTTGCAAGGCTTTGTTTGCGGAGGACCCAGCTAGAGTTTGAGTAGACCTGTGCATAGGCCGCATGCGTTCCTCCCTTCTGTGTTTGCCTCCTGTTTTCGGTGCAGGGCTTTCAATGCCCGCAAGCAGGCAACGCGTCGATCAATCAAGAAGCGTGAAGTAGCAAACCATAAGCCCTCGAGGTGTTAGTCATGGCAGCTGCATCAATTTTCCGATTATGACGCAAGGACGAAAATCACAAGCCAGAGAAGGAGTGCAGAGTAACAAACCCTTGAAGCAGGGGAGTGGCAAGCACTGGATTACTCCGATATGCATGCCCGGCCCTAAAACACCAGGAGCAATTCACAAGCCGCAACCCCTCTGCTCGGTGGCGAGTACCAACCTCTACTGCACGCAGCAAAGGATGTGCGAGTTTCAATAATCGCATGTCATGTCCAGTCTGAATCTTGATAATACGCGGATACTGAGCACTTCCTGTTCAGCACGAGCGAAAATTTTGAATATTGTCAGTCCGAGATGTCAGGAGACAGCAAGTTCAAGACTCCCAAACCAGCTTAGAGTCTACCCTCCCATGTCGTGCAAGGCGATGTGACCGGAAGAGCTGGAAAGTTGTGGATCTCGTGTTGACGCGAGAAGCAACATAAACTTATGCCAAAGAAGACAGCAGCAACGGGAAAGCGCAGATCCTTGTGCCGTGCCTTGGAGACTCTTTCGAGGCTGTCCGGCAATGGTGCCGAGGAGAGCGCAATGATCTTCCAAACCTAGCAGAGGCAGCGCTCAGGGCTCAGGGACTCCCTGCAAGTAGAGCAAAGCGCAAGTGGATAGCAGAGCTATTTGCAATGGGGCCGCTTTAATAGCGAATCAAGGCGGTTCCAACACTTGTGGGGAGATTCAGACTTCGTGCTGTGCTTGAACCCTAGCGACGTGAGAACGAAGCGGCGCAGCCTGGCTCAAACTTATGATGACAGCTGCTACACAGGTGCATGCCACCACGGTTCGGAGGGCCAAGCAAAAGCGCGAAAGCGCGGATTTAACTGAGTGAGCAAATACGACCTGTGCGATGTGTAGCAGCGTAGTATGCAGCATATGCAGCAAGAAAAAAGATCATCGCAGATCTTGCAGACGTCGGTTTGCCGCACATGCGGTGGTGGAGATGGAAGCTACCCTGCAAAGGGCTCAGCAAGTTTTGTGTGACCGAAAGTGACCTACCTGCTGGAACTCGTGCTGAACACTGAGGACAGTGTCGAAGCAGACTGCTGTGGGGCGTTTTCGAATTGATGGCTTTTCACTGCAACACCGGCCTCTTGCCAGCCATGGGTAGGACAAGTAATTCGACGATTCCACGTGCCAGGCTGGCCAGGAAGAAGGGCGATCCTGTCACATCGGGTCCGATCATCGAGGTCCGAGCGCCAACAGCTTGCGCCAGAAGGCTTCTCCTGCAAAACTTCGTGGTGTGGTCGCAGATTGGTGATTCGAAATGGGAGATCCTGGTGTATCCTTCCGGCGCAGATCTCAATCGACGTTTGCCCCAGAGGAGTGGCAGCATGGTGCAGCGAGATCTGATGAGGAAACGAGCGGTGCAAGGATGGCTGGATCCGAGTATCAGTTCGATGCACAGAGGGCGAGCCGGAGACCAAGAGATGTGACCCTTTTGTTGAGAGTGTTCAAAGAAGGCAAAGAAGGTTGGTTTAAAAGGTAAGATGAGTAGGGAGGTCTCCAGAAAGGGAAGTCTTGTCAAACGAACTGTCTCTCTCTCTCTCTTTGTCCATTCCTGCCTGCCTCCCTTTCTGTCTCTGTCTCTCTCAGGCAGGAAGTGCGAGCTCTGTACTCGGTGTCCGTGGTCAATGCCGTGTTCCCGGCGGAATTGACGGCAAAGGGGGAGTTGAGCTGGCATAGTTGTATTGGCATCGTTGCCGGCGCAGAATAAGTGTCGTAAACGGGCCTGTGTTGCAACTGTGCACCTCGAGTCCACCGTTCTGGAACTGCCAGGCAGGTGAAGTGAAGCCGGAATCCTAACCTGTCGTGCGCCTGTCGCTGTCTCACCCGAGAGTCGGCCAAGAACGATCAAGAAGGATAGCACAGTAGGCCCTAGGTTTGATCAGCCGCAAGAGGTCTTCGAGCACAAATTGAACAGCTTGGGGCCAAGGCACCGGCTGGAGGAAGAAGCCACGTTCACCAGCGGTGACGGCCTGCTCTTCATGCAAGAGTAGTGAGTAGTGTTGCGCAGTTTTGTGTTTGAACGAAGATGGCCTCACGGTGTGTGCACTTCCGGGTGTAAGGTTTTGTTTTGGTGATTGCTCGGATTCTACGTAAAGTTTGTTTTGGACCGGAGAGTTCGCAGTCCGTAGTGCCACAAGCAGTTTCTTAAGTAACCCAGCTGTGACTGTAGACTTCGCATGGCTTGCAGGCTGGGGCTTTGACAACTTCATCCGCCAAGAGCGCCTGCCAATCACCAAGTCTGCAGAATTCCCCAAGCTTTACGTGTGATCCAGGCTTCAGGACGGGGTGGAGGGTGTGGGAGGCAGCCGCGCTTATTCATGGTAACTTGTAGCTTGAGGGAGTGAGATATGCTCCAACGGGAAAGCCGGCAGTCTTCCTTGAACGATTTCAATCTGTATAGTGGTGGACCCGGGCTTGTGCATTCTATGGTGCACGTTCTGCTTCAGGACGCTCCTTGTCCACGGAGTCTTTCAAGATTTATCGTCGAAATTTGGACAAAGCTCGCGCCCCCTCAATCAGCCCCAAGGACGGATCGAACGAAAGGGTTCGCAGACGATGTCGTCATCTTCGAAGCCACCGTCACGGTTCTTGGCCGGGAGGCACTTGTGAACACAGTCACAGCAAGCTTTTTCATTTGGGTTCGAGGTGGCGAACAGACTGTTGATTTTGGGCCAACGTGCTGGACATTCCTTGATATCTTTCGGCTGGACTGCGGATTGGCGTATGCCACAGTTTTAAGTCATGTCGACGGGCTTGTACTCAGCACACTAGGACCCTAGGATCCTGCTGCAACCTCCAGTAGATGTCGCAGCGTCTGCAGGAAATCAGACGCCAACCGATCACTGGAAGCGAGTCCAAGATGATTCACTCCGAAGAGTTGGCATCTGACCTGAAGGCAACATGACTGTTAAGGCTGGAGTTATACCACAATACCATCTTGGCTTAGTTCAATGACAGGCATTGTGGGAATCTGGCCAACATGCTGCCCGGAGACCTACTGAGCAGGTTTTCGTTCGCACCTTGTTTATTTCCTGAGGGGTTCAGGTTGGAAAATATCAAGATCTTTTTGTATCTTCGCTGCGGGTCGGAGTTCAACTTGCTGACCCCTGCATTCGGAAATGAAGTGGAGGGACAGCACATCCGTAGAGGAAGTGTCGGTCGGTCGAAGACCTGAGTAAGTACAAAGGAAATTTTGGTAGGGAAGGGTCTAAGTCTCTGAACCCCCTCTACCAATGGAATGATATCATGAAGTCGACAAGTGTAAGCGAGTTCTACGACCTACCAATACAGTGGCTTCAAAGATACCGACCTGATCTTGAGTTTGATCTGTCTTTTGCTGTTCTGGACAAGAAGCTTTGGATGTCATGTCACTCACGTTGAATTTCTTGCTCTCTCAGAACTGCAACTTCACAGACCGCCGTCATATCAACAGTCTCTCGAGCAACTTCAAGTTTTGCAAAAGCCGGTAGTGGCATTATATCGATTGCATGTTGTATGAGAAGATGGAAAATAATCATATGTATCATCTGTAGCTGTATCTGCAACTATATCTCCATGTCTGTGTCAGTATGTACATACGATTGCATACGTATACATATATGTGTGAATACAGATGTGTACGTCTGTGCATATCTATCTGGCTATCTATCTGTCACATGCATGCATGCATGCATGCATGCATGCATGCATGGATGTATGTATGTACTTATGTATGTATGCATGTATGTATGTATGTACACATGTTTACATCTGTTAACTTCCATTTTGCAGAAATGGATGCGTCCTGCGATGCGGAAGCGTTCTTGGTAGTCAGCTCGTTCAATGTATTGAACATCCAATACTACAGAGCTTTGTGGACCTGACTGTGAAAAAGTGACGACAGACCCGCCAACCACTACGCAGTGCAACTGGACTGAACCCGCAAACTAGCGCATGTCGCGATATCAGAGGGTTTCGCCTGCCCGAATGAGTGTTCTCGCGGGGTTGTGTCCGTGGGTAGTATTGTCAGCAAGGTGTGGTTTTTGTCTGTGTTCAAGCGGCAGACCAGGATCTCGATCAATGGTTGCGCATGTGGACAAGTGGGCGGATGGATTGCGACAAACTATGTTTTGTTTGTTCTAAGACGGGTCGTGAATTAACGGCAACTTCCGTTGAGTTTTTGGAAGGGGTGTGTGACAGCGGTCAGCCTGTCCGACGAGAAGCTGGAGATATGACAATAATGCCAAAACGAGTTCCCGAAAAAATGGCCGGCAGTGGGTGATATGCACCGAAAACTTGTTTGGTGTTGGGGGGTGTCGGGATTGAAGCTGGATGTGCAAATAATGGCTGCATGCTTTGGCGGATGTAGTTGATTTGGCATGATTTTGCGTAGTGGTCGTTCTGGTGTCCAGGACCTGACCCTGCAAGTCGGCGAGACACAGCACTCCCGGCTTGGCTGAAAGTCTCTTGATTCCGCCAACGCCGAGCTAAACTGAAGCTTAAAGCTTTCAAGCTTCAGTGGCGGTCTCTCGCCAGGCTACAGGTCCACGGCCTGATCTTGGCAGCAAGGCAGGCGGTCCGGGTTTGGACTCTGCAGCAACTTCCACGTAGCAGGTCTGCGGTCTTCTCGCGCATGCTGGCCTCTGAAATGTCGGAGGCCTGCTCAAGGACATGATTCAACATCCCTCAGTGAACAAAGCCTTGCGTTCAAAGCCACCTTTGCAGTAGCTCGCTGCGCGTGATGACCTAAGGTGCAAACCCTGAGTGTTCTCAGTAGGAGATGCCTTCTTGTTGTTGTTGTTGTTCTCCGGCTGATGGCATGGTCTTCGACTCTGTCGCAGCATGCTCTGCCCGCCGGTCGGACTTGTCATAGGATGTCTCCGCTTGAACGGTGATTCCGCTGTTGAGAACACGTGTGTGCACATGCAGAGGTCTTCTAATATCAACACAGCCGTGGTGCATCGCATGCGGTACTGTCCCCCCAGCTACGCATACCTTTCAAACACATGAGACGCCTGCCAGCAACGGTAGGCATCATCGTCACAAAGTCTCCAGCGTTCGAACATGGAATTATAGTGAGTTATATCACATGCAGAGTCAAGCACACGTCGCGAAGAACACATTCTAGCAGTGTGCACGAAAAAGAGTCGAAGTTGTAACATACAAAGTTGCGCCCTTTCACGGCCATCGGAGGATGTCAGGGCTTTGCAGTTGAACACGTATCGTCAGCCGATGTGTGTGGAATCAATGCCGATGGTCCTTCCGTGTGCTCAACACGCCATCCACTCGACAGAAGCTGGACGTACCTAAGAATTGTGGACATTTGTGGCAAACGCAAAACTAGAAAAATGCAAGTGCATGAACATATCAAGAAAGTAGAAGCAGAAATAACTTACCCTGTCAAGCATGTTCTGAGAGCAGCACATGACGACCCGTTGCATGACATATTCTTTCGACCGGGTCAGAACGTTCCTACAAGCGAGCATGCGCAGAGTGGGCAACCCGAGGGGAAATTGGCTTTTGGAATCCTGTGTAGAACATATGCATCCCTACCTCCCCAAGCACACTTCGACGTCTCTGTCCCTGCGCATTGGAACGAAGTAGCAGACACGGCCACACGCCGCGAACCCTCTTTTGTCAAAAAGCCTGAGGGAGAGTCACCTGATAAGCCTGAGTTGTACTTCCACTTGTGACAATCAAGATTTCATCGAATGTGTTATCGGATATGCCACCGCAAGGTCTAGTTCAGGAAGATGTCATCGTAAATATCATCCGAAATCTCACCGAATATGTCACCGAATACGTCACCAAAAGATATCGTAAAGGATGTCGGTCAAGTCGTGTGGCATGAAACTTACCCCAGATTCCTCCTAAGCAAAATTACCCTTGAAGTCTCAATATAAGTACCCTGAAGCACAAGCCCCAGTGGGACACGACAGCACTTCTCAGTGGCATGGCGTAGCCTAGCCTCCTCAATTTTCCGTCTCATCCCTTCTCAGTCTCTGAAACCACAGCAAAGGCTGAGATCTCTCATGAATTGAGCGACACCCAGCTCGATTCGGAGCTGCGTCTCAGTGAGTGAGCGAGATTTCCAGGCATCAACAATCCCCAGCCAAAGCACACACATTGAACAGTTTTTCTGGCTGCGACTTCCGAATCCCCTAAACGCGAGACGCAGGGCAGATTGTACGAGCTTCTTGACACGAGACGAGTCGAATGCACGCATTCCCCGGCAAGCGAAGCAATGATGCAAGACGAGGTCGTGGTTTGTATCGCCAGCCTGCAGAAACGAAAGCCTTGCTCAGCAAACATCATCCAAAGGGCTGACAACAGGCGTCAAACCAAATGATGCATCAGCCACATGCTGATAAGAAGTCACACCTCCAAGTTTCGATGGTTCAAGCGGTACCACCGGCTTGCCCCCGCGTACAGGCTGCGCCGCACTTTTTCTGCTCGTTGCTGGAGGATGCATTGTTCTGCAAGAATAGTGCACGTAGATGCACCTATCACAACTTTCTGCAAGCAGTGCCTGCATCCTGTAACGGAGAGCTCGCTCGTGATTGGCCGTGATGTGGTGGGAAGCTTTGTGCTGCCAGGCGAAGTCGAGGGTCATCAGGATCGTCGACGCAAGGAGCTTGGCCGAATTGTGGGTATGGGAAGTTCGATTCGTTTTTCCAAGGCGGATGCCGAGACAATGCGATGCCTTTGTGAATACATGTACACAGGCGCCGTTCTGAGGGTGAAGGTTCTTGACTCCTGTTTGCAAGACTTTGGCAGGTACGGTGCGGAACAACCGCCCATTTGAGAATGCGGACTTGGCTGGATCTTTATTGCAGGCCCGGGACAGACACAGGTGCCTCGCAGTTTATCTTGCCAGTGAAGCTGCAGGCGGCAGCGAAGTACGAGGCACGCCATGGAGACAAGTTTCGGCCTGCTTCGTGACTCTATGACCGTCACATAGATTCTGTTCGTGCAGGTTCACGGGCTGGTGCGGTGGTGTTCCGCCAAGGTCCCCGCCTGTTGTCAGCTTGTTCGTCCTGATCCTTCCCGCGATCCTGCAGATAGCCGCAACTCTGGGCGTCGACACGGCAGCGGAGTGGCTGGTTCTCGCATCGCAGATTGGACCGCAGGCCAAGTCTTGCGGGCATAGCGAACCAACTCGGCTCGTTTTGCCGGACAGGCCGATGCATTGAAGACCAAGAGCCCCGGGCTGCACATGGAGTTGCGCAAGTCCGCCGTAGTTTCAAGGCCTTCACGTGCACAAGTTTGAGCTCCCATAGGTGCGTTCACCTGGCGGCCAGCAACCTGTCAGAGGTTCAGGCATCCCGGAGCTGCACAGTGAAGCGATTTCTGGTCCGAAAGCCAGGCTCATCAGTCCGCAGTGCTGTGCAGGTGACTGAGGGCTGGCAGCGCTTCATGAAGAATCCTCGCGTCCTCAACCCAGTGTGATGTGACATGGGAATGAACACTCGGCCTCTGAGTTTCAGGTGGTGTCGGAGGTGGCACCCCTGTTGTTCCAGGCAATGCGTGGAGGGCATTCGACCCACCTTCCTGTAATGCCATGGGCGCGGGGAGGCGGTGGGTACCCTGAAAGTGCAGGCCATCAGCCCTCCACCTGGAAAGAAGAGGCGGCGAGCTTGCCCGGCGCCCTCATCCTTGGCACCTGCATGAGTTGAGCATGAAGTTCGCATGCGCCAAAAACCCAGGCGAAAAGCTGAGCTAGTCGAATCGGCAAAAGCCGCAAGGTACGTGAAAGATACTCGCTTGGAAGTTGCGCCCGTGGGTTGTGAGATGGGTGCAGTGATCTATCGTCAGTAGGGAGTCCAACTTTACCTCCGCACGTTGTTTGGAACATGAGAAGGTGTTGTGCACGGGCAAATTCACGGAGGTGACATACTCCTCCAAGGCAGTTAATCTTCGATATTTCGAGACAGCTGTACCAGCGAGCAATGCTGCTGGGGCGGAATGTCGGTAATGAGATGCACCGCAAGCAGCTTTTAAAGCCCTTGCTGGCATCTTATCTAGTTGGCGCTGACAAAAAGCGACTGTGGAAAGCTTGTTTGCAACATCGAAGTCGAACAGCCTTGAGTCTTGAATCCGCCGTTCGGCCTTTCCAGGTTGTTCCCTCCAGGTCGTAATTTGTGAGTTGAGTTATGCTTTATTTCAACTGTTGGGATCCCGTCTTCTTTGACCGTGTCCCGATCCACGACACCTGTGGGAAAACATCGCCATCGAACCCGCAGTGTCGATAAAGCACGTGCACCTGCTTCTCAGCGCAGGCGAGGTGTCTTGCACCACTATTCTACGAGCAGGAGCGGCTTCTTGGGGTTCTGTTTGCCAGTGTCCTTTCCGAGCGGATGAGATGGGTGTGCTTGGCTTTCGGCTAGGCTTGGTTTCTGGATTTCATTGGCTATTTGCGGACATGCAGTGCAATTTGAAGATGAGAAGAACTGGCTCACGAGCCTTCATGTCGGGTTCACTCAGTTCAGTTTGGCAATGTGTGACGACACTTTACGGCATTCGATCCGCGCCTGCCGGCAACAGTCGCGGAAAGGTTGGGTGTTTTTAGTGTTGCTACCCGAATCCGGTTCGACTGCTCGTCTTCGGACATCAGGTCGTTGCTACACTGACGCGGTGTGGCTGTCAGGCGCCGCTTCTAGATTGCATGTCTTATCTTCAATCCTGTGCAGATGTTATTGGAGTATCCTACATCCCTGTTGTGTTGAAGTTGCTAAGGTCTGGTTGCCTTGACTTGCCCACGATAGAAAGACCTAAGATTGTGAACTGCGCCCTTCGTTTACGTTTGCCGGCGTGACGGCCGCCGCTGTTGCAGTGCCTGCTCGGCTGCCCCCCTGGCGGACCCCTGTCCCTGTTTAGGCCGTGTGGTTTTTCTGCGTTGAAAGGTGTGGCACTTGAACGCAGACGAGCAATCCCCCTTGCTTCAGACGAGGCAGGAGGGCTTCAGGCCTTGGGATTCGCGACATCAGATGGTCGCTTGCGTAAGTGCTCGGATAAAGTTGGTGTGGGGGCTGACATGTGCAGTTAGTAGAAGCAGGAGGGTGAACAACACATACACGCAACAGCTGCTATGCACCGAAGGCGCGGCTCAGAGTGGTCGCATGTTTGGGGCATAGTGCGAGCCTTGGCATTTGGAGGTTCCCTCGAGAAGGTGGTATCGGTGGCAAACAGCACAGATCAGCACCCTGTCAAGGTATCAGACAACATCGACTGGGCAGTTTGCCAGGGAGTCAAGCTCATTCCTCTCCAGCCTCGGCCTTAGCCAAGCGTTTTCCGGACTGCCACGGCTCTTAGGCGACTCGCTTATGAGGTTCTTCGACTTGGACGGCATCGTCAAGCTGAAATCTATGGACTGTGACTTGCCCTTGCGCAGTTCGTCGCAGGCCCCAGATGGTACAGGCCCCCACATGCGCCGCAGGAGGGAGCCGGAATGGGCTGGCCTGAAGTTGACAGTGCGGACCTCAAGACTCGTTTCAAGCTTCTGTAAATTTTCCGTTCGGCTTCTCTTCGGCATGTTGGGCCCGCCGAGGCTTCAGCGTTGCCTACACGTCATCTGACGTGATCGCCGAGTATCTCAGGCAGCTCTTACTGCGATTGTACAGTGCACTTCAAGTGTGCAAGTGAGCCGCCTGCAATTTGGCAGGCTCGGTCATCCCCCGAAAGAGGAGGACTTGAAGGCTCCGCATTCAGCTAGAAATGGCCACAGAAGACCGGAGCCGTTCATGTGCTTCACAGCCTTCGGCCCTGGGCCTGGAGACATCCTGACACCTCGGCCCTGTGAGGAGTATGAGAGAAAGGGCTGGGGGCTGAGTCTGAGTCCAGCAGGTCGGCGCACAGCGGAGATTCGGGGAGTCGCGCATGGATACTCTGCCTTCTGCCCGCGCAGCGCAGTTTTTAAGATTTACGTCTGAGCAGATGCTCCCAAGGCAAGTCCAAGGGCAGCTTCGGCCGCCGCGGCTGGCCAATGAAGTGGTGGTACGACTCGGCCAGAACCCCGAAAGCTGGCATTCCGGTCTTGGCGCTAAGGGGCTGCCGAGGCAATGGGAAATTTGCAGTCTAGGAAGCTAGAAGACCGCTCAAAGACTAGTGATCGAGCTTGCAGTCGGTCAGTGCGCTGGGCCGGGTGTCAGTTTCGATCTCCGATGCTCCGCAAGTGGATTAGCCAAGCCGGACAGGTCCTGATGGAGCTCGCGCTTCTTTTCGGCACAGATGCAACGACGCCGTTCATCCAGGAGCGGACAACAATCCTGGCACCGGGCAGTGCACCAGACTGACTCCATTTCTCTTTCGAAACCGCTGCCCAGCAGATTCTGGAAGGTTTCGTGTAGAGTCACCCTGTGCACAACCACGGCTAGTATCGCAACACATCACAACGGTCTCGAGGGTGACGTGCAGGGAGAGATTATGCATGTTGACATAGAGAATGGCGTAACACTCAGTGAGCGCGTTTGAATTGCTTGTTGTCCCAAAGTGGATTGTGCCCTGGGCCAGAAGCACAAGCTCTACCAGCAGATCGGCCTCCGGATGGGCCAGGCAGTTTCCGAGCATGGAGTCGGAAGTCGGAGGTCTTTGTCACCGATTAGTACTACCACGTAGTACGGTAACTCGCTTGAGGAAACAGAACCCCAGCACCCCAACCTCATCCAACCTCCACGTGCTTGAAAGAGGCTGCATTGATGTTTGGGACTGGCAGGATCCCATTGAGTCCATCACCAGATGGTTCCGAGACCAGCTTCTGGGCTGGATTTTGCTGTTCTCCTGGAGTGGCAGCCACCCCGCCTAGCGCGGGAAGAGCATGTAAGCTCAGAGCATGCAGGTCTTTCTGTGAGCAGTATCCTGCGGCGTAACGACATCATGCTAGCAACGGGTCCAGGATTTTGCAAGGATGTTGTGAGCTTGACAGGCCTCCGCGCTTGAAATCTGAGGCTGTACTCCCGGAAGCTGCGCTGGAAAGAGGTGTACCTGGAGGCACCGAGCCTGCGGGGAGGATGCAATGCTCCGAGATCGAGTGATCAGGCGTTGTCCCCGGTCCTTGCAGACCTGGCCGAGAAGGCACAGAGCCAGTGCTTTCCTCTCTGCACGCTTCGAGCCAGTGCTTGTCATGTGCCCCGTTTTCCTTCCTTGGGGCAGACGCAGCAGACTCGGTGCAGCGATACCGAGCTTGCTCAATGCCGGGTAGGAATCGCATCGAGATCCATGCACCATTTGTGGAAACTGTGCTCGCATTTGCGGAGCTGCGGTATTTCATCAACGTGATCATGCCTGCAAGAAGCGCAAAGATCGAATTCATTTGTGTCCGAGACTGGAGAAGAGCAGTCAGACCCACCGTATCCGAAGTTTCTCGCGCTAGGGCTTCTGGGGCTTAGGTACTTACAACCCTGCAAGTTTGAGATCTGCAGAACTGCTGACACAGAAGGTTGCTCTAGCCCCATAGAAGAGGACAGCGATTTTGGCCTGGCTCTGCAGTGCTCGCGGAAGGCTGCGGCTTGCAATGACTCGTTTGCCACAGTGTGCTTCTATGATGAATGTGAAAGCGATTGGTTTTGAACTTCGTTTTCAGGTCCACAGCCCAGCCATGTGCTTGATTAGTCAGCATTTGCTCGTCTGACGTGCCACTGTAGTTTAGACTGATGCTGCCATGCTGCGGAGTAAGCTTGTAAAGTTTTAAAATGCCCAACGCCACTATTCGCAAAGCATACCGTGCGTTCACCTCGGCTAGGTGTGGGTTCTATCCACCAACAGGCTTTGAGAAAAGGAAAGCTGAAGCTCTGCAGGTCTATGAACAGGACGCCCGTTCTCTAAGGAACGTGCGGAGCCAAGGCAAGCCACGATGCGACCGTCAAGATTCTGGCCGCTTGAACATTGCCTGGGAAGGTATCATTCAAAGCTCAAAAGACTCCAACTGCCACCGCCCCGAGCTGAGCAAAAGCTGCCCACTGCTAAGATAAGGTTGTCATGAACCTGGAACGACAGCGGCGACAGAACGGTGAGAAGGCAGGTACTCTCGCAGATGCTGCGGACTAGTAATGACTTTACGTGTTGGCATTTTTCCCTCAAGGCTTTCAGGTTCTTGTGGTTCGACCGTGTGCTCCTGCGGTCGACGCAAACATAGCCTGCGCGATGAAGTGATACTGGCCATTGGTCAATTTGCCATGTAAACCCGACCTGTCGCCACATCCTCCCACCCTGGAGTCCCCGAAAGCACGTCGGTTTCCTCTCAGTGTCGAGATTGTCATCGGTTCCTTCTCGTTGATGGTCATGGTATCTTTTCATCGTCATCGTCTTTCCATCTGCTCCATTGTTTCATGTGGTCGATTCGACACATCTTCTCCGATTCGCTGCTCCTGTCTGAAGCTGATGTCGTCAGGTTTGCTCGCTGGGCCCCGCTTAAGTTGCTCAGCTTGCAGAATCCGTGAGCGCAAGGCTGTGGCCATCGACTCCTCGCTGCACCAGGCTGCTCGGTGTCGGCCTATAAATACCTGAGCATTCACCTCCCGCACAATGCACATCACTCGCAAACTCGCATCACCATGGATTGAATCTTTTTTCACTTTCCAGCTGGTTTGTCTGGAGTCTTCAGTCTTGAGGGTCGCCCTCAGTCGCTGACATAGTCTGACGGAGCGAAACGACTGGCCAACCATGTAGTGTTGTCTGTTGGCGTTGTCTGGGTCATCTTCCCTTCATCAGGGAGACCATGTTAGTGGCTCCTTGGCATATGGCTTAGAGGTTGTGTAGGGCTCAGAAGACCGGCAGAAGCGCCGGATAGCTGCAGGCCCCAGTGCTAACACGGCACGTCTTGTAGGAGCCAGCCATTGGGAAACACGTGCATAGTCCCACTTGGCATCGGAGCGCAAGGGCTACGCGTGCCAAAGCTCGGAAGCGCCTACGGCGCCGTCTGAACGAGGGCCACCGCCCCAGACAGCGAGACTTGCTGCGGATCCACGCGCATCATTCTGCGCCTCCTTCGCTTGCGTACATGGGTAAGCAAGCCAAGCCATATAAGTATCCGAAGTCATGGGAGGATACGCACGACGGCCGTGGATGGTCGGACCGATCTCAGCCACGTGGTGGCTACTGGCGTGGACCGTACGCGAGAGGAGGACAAAGCCTCTCCGAAGGCGAAAGGCAAGGGCCACTCCTTCCCGGCCTACGATGTGAACTGGAAGGAACAAGGCATCTCGGTGATCTCAGAGCGACGCCAGCCGGAGACACACCAGCGAAGCAGCTTGGCGAGAGTGGTTCAAGATGCAGTCAACCTTTTGAGGAAGGCCGAAGGGCGTGTCCTGAAGCTGCATGCCGATATTCAGGAGAAGGCAAGGAGATGGGATGCCTATCAGGCGGAGCTCCGGGCATCGTTTGTTCAAGAATATCAACGGCATATCGGCACCTTGGACCGCTTGGAGCAGGAGATCGCGGAGGCGACGGAACAGGAGGCCAATGCGAAGGATGTGTTGTCTCGTGCCATGGAAGGTGTGGCCCCGCTCACATCGAAGACTCAGGCTTCCCATGCATGGGAGCGCTTGATGGATACGGTCCAAGGACGGGCCGGCATGGACGTCGACGCCGACACCCTTGGTCAGCAGTTGGACGAGCTTCTGCGAGTTGCTGTTCCTGGTGGAGGGGCGATGCCAACGAATCCCTCTGCCCCGGTGGTGGAGCCACGACCGGCAGATGCTGCTGGGCCTGCTTCCTTTGGACCGGTACGTCATACATATGCGGGCACATCTCCGAGTGCTGTGAGGGCGGACCCGTATATGGCAGCCAGTCCTTCGCTCCTTGCACGAGGCCCGTCCACACCGCGACCGGCACCAGCCGAGGCACCGGAAGTTCGACCCAAAGGGCCAGTGCTGCCCATGGACTCGGAGGCAATCGCTGCTGTGAGAGCTCTCAAGGCCAGAGTCGGAGTCAAGAGTGTCCCCCGACAAGTGGTTCCAGGAGCAACTCGATTCAGCCTCGCCTGGCTTGGGCAAGATGGAGTGATGTGGCAGCCGAGTCTTTTCGCTCCTCTGTTTCGCTGCTGGCAGCTCAATGTACCTGCCCTATGGAGGCCCAGTCCTGTGTGGGAGTTCTGGTTTTACCAGGCTTCTACCTCGACTGCGTCCCTCCCTGGGACTTGTAGGTTGAGTTATGTCAGGGGCGTTGCAGTGCTGAGCGGAGTGACGGGGCGAACTGAGTTGTACAAAGCTATGAACGGTAGTGTTGTACAGATACTGCATCCTCGGGGCCTTCCTTGTGCTCCCTTCCTCGGCCTCCTTGCGGCGCCTCCTTGGGTGACACGGTACTGGGTTTGTGCCGTGGGCCCTTGGAGGCTCCATGTCTCCTCGGCTGACTTCTCACCGGATTGGGTTTTTCCGGATGAGTGGCAGCCTCCGCCGTGCTGCTGGAGGTACATTTGCTGTGCCTCTGCTGAATACCTCGATGGCCTGCGGATGCCATTCAGTTGGGATCTCATGTTTTGCATCGCCACCAGGTGTGCCCTTCGCCCTTCTGGGTTTGGGTGGGACTGTGGCTCTACTTTGCGGCGTCCCTTCTCCGACTTCCTGGGTTGCCCTTTCAGCTCTTGTTTTTCGGCAGTGCCTAAAACACGCATCGGTGGCTCTGGGGCGTGTACTGCTCTTTCCTTTTGTGGCCCTTGCGGCGCTTCCGCCTTTTGTTGCGGTGCTGGGGAATGGTGTTGCTTTGCCAGCCATTCTGTCTCGGCTCGCTGTCTTTGCGCAGCCTGCCAGGTTCCCTTTTCGTCTGGCCGGATGCGCTTGGAGTGCCCCGTCCCAGGAATTGTGGTTCCTTTTTTCCACGGGTACTTGTATTGGCTGTTCACAGGTGCCCTTCTTGTGCTTGGAGCTTGCGCTTCGTTTGGTGTCGATGTACTCCGTTGGGGTTCCGCCTCCGGCGTACTGCGGCTTCTTGCGTTGCCTGGCCTCCTGCCTGACGCTGTGCGCATGTATGCTCGTCGGTGCGAACGGGGACTGCATTGTCTCTGTGCTTCTTTTCAGCTGCAGTGGGCTTCGACTGGGGCAGCACTTGTTTGCACGCTTGGGTGCAACTTTGGGATGCGTATGTGTGATTGTACACAAGTGGAGGTTGCGGCGGCCTCGCTTTCCCGTACTTTCTGCCTTGCGCTTGCGCTTTCCATTTTCGGAATCCTTCTGCGGCCCGTGTGTGCTTGGAAGGGGCTCCGGGGCTGGGCCCCCCGGATTTCTACTTGCACCCAACCTGTGATGTGCTTACCTCTGACGCTGTGCGCTCGGGCCGGCCAGGCACATTTTTCCACACCGTGCCAGCGGTACACCCTTCACGGGCACAGGCCCTCCCGACAAACCTTTAGGGGCTGGTACGCTTGGGTTCTAGGCCTAGTTTTCTGGAGCCTACCCCATTGTGTCTGGGCGGCACCGTCCGAATTTCGGGAGAATCTTCCTGTTGCTGCGCCTCGCATTGCTGATCCCCCTGAATCCTTGCCAGGATCCTCTTCGGATCGTCATTTGGTCGTTGCACCCACAGGAACTTTGGAGCCTGCTGACGAGCCCATCCACGTCGGCTTGGCTCCTGATCCTCCCCCTGGTCAGGCCGTTGGGACAGGAGCTTTGCCTCCTGACAGTCATGTTCCAGGGACTCATGGCTGCCCCTTGCCGCGGTGTTGCCATTGTCACACCTACATTGTCTCTCCGCATTACAAGCCTGAATGCATGGAGATCGTTTGGGGTGTGCCTTGTGAACCGCGCGACGCTGAGAATGTGGTTGCTAAGTACCTGCCCAACGCGTGCTTCCCCTTCTCTTCCATGGTCGTGGCCGCGCGACCTCAACCCTCGACCGATTATGCTACTTTTCTGGCTGTGCCCGAATGGACCAGCTATGTTGGCATGACGGGGGTGGTCCTTGACCTGAGGTCAGCTGTGCTGGGCCAGAATGGACCTGTGATTGGCGCCTTTCTGTCAAGACCGACTAATGCTGCCGAGATACGCCGCGAGGCAGGCTTGTACTCGATGGGACGGTGTGACATCCTTGTGGGGACCAGCCCTGAGCCTTTGAGAGACGATGAGCAGGTCTTTCTTGACAATGGTTCATTGGTCCGCTTGGTTCGCGAGGAGTTCCCACACGAGACCCTGCTTTCGTTACGGGCCATGCTGATGTCAGAAGACTTTGCACTGTTCAGAGGCCCATACCCACGCATTCCTGACCCGAAGGTCCTGATGCTTTTGCATCACTCTGGCAGATCCTTTTTCAGTGGCCAGCGGAGTGCTGGGGTTCCTATCCACACGGCCATCGTGAATTTCGTTGGGGTATTTCCGGGTTCTGTCAGTTTCCACTCTCCCAGTGATGGGTCTGTGGAGCGGGTCTGCCATAGAGGTCATATGGTTCGGGGTACCGTGGTCCTGGCGGACCATCAAGACGACGGCACCGCCCCCTGCGTGATCTTCTTAGATCTGCGACCGGTCGGGGCCGCCCCGGGTTTTGTCTGTCTCCAGCACCCTTGGCTCAGCTATGAAGACCTGGAGCAGCTGTTGCCTCGTCCGGCTCCGGCCGGCTGGCGGCTCACTGTTGTTGGAGGCCATCGTAAGGCAAGACACTTGGAGGTCCAGCACCGTATGACCCTGCTGCTTGGTTTGGTCAGCGTGCTGGACCCGTCTGACGATTGCGAATCCGTGCCCGGCTCTGCACCCTCAGGTGACTCCGACCACGACGAGGACGGCGAAGAGGAGGATCCTACGGATGACCACTCGCAAAGCAGCACCAGATCTCGAAGTCGCGTGCGTGGTGCTCCTGCAGGTACACGCCATTCTCCGTCTTCAGATCCTTCCTTCCACGGCTCCTTCCCGGATGTCACGAAGACCTGCACTATGAGCTGGGGAGCCGACCCTGCTCATGATGGGCAGTGTGAAGTGCAGTTTTCCTATCTGGGTTCGGCAGCCTCGCATGCAGCAAGCACCATTTGTGCTGCGAAAAGCTTCTGCGGGGCCCCATGGATGCCACAAGCTTCTGTTGGTCCGGAAACATTGTACGGCCATTTCGGCAAAGGAGCTCCCTGGTTGTCCCCGGTTGACCTTAGGACTGCTGTTCTTTTCGGTTCGACCCCCCTTGTCTCCCAGGGTGAAGGGCTAGTCGGTTTCGGCGGTATGCAATATCCTTGGATCGCCTCCTCTTGTGGTGTGCTAATTGAAGCAGCCAACTTTGGACCGGTCAGTTGCCGCCTTCCGGACCTGCCGCCTCCTGCCGAGACGCCATATGCGTCTGCTAGCGGTTCACTGGAACTTGAGGGCACTCACTTCCTTGGTGAACGCAACCCGCCTCAGCATCACCTGCCTGTCTACGAGCAACCCGCCCCCGAGGTTGCGCATTTCAGGCGACTGCCCTTGTCTTTGTTCCTGAGTACCCGCCAGAGATCGTTACAACCGCCCTTGAAACTGATCTGAACCCTTCGGATGCGGTTGGCCGTTTTCAGGCGGCGCGTGATGAGGCCCGAGTGAACCGTTTTGATCGACTCCTTGCTGTCCGGCCGCAGCCTACTGGGCAGTATGCTTCGCTTGTTGCATTTGCAGACTGGCACGATGGGGTCTTTGTTCTCTTCGATTGTACTCGGTACAATGGCACCGCCTACGCCACCTTGGTCTCTCCTTCTATGACCAAAGGAGCGCTGCTCAGTGTGGCGGGCATTCGTCCGGAGCAAAGTGTTGATGTCTTCGTTGCAGACTACCCCATGCCTCTGCAGGACATGGATGTCATAACGATGGAGTTGGGTTACTCGGTTCAGTTTGTTGCTGCAGGCCACCCGCCATTTGTAGTCACTTCCGGGATATGATCCGCTCTCCTGCAGGATGGACGATTGATGTCACTCCGCCCTTGCTTGAAGAGCGCTGGCTCTACTTGGTCGGAGATGATGAGCCCAGCTTCTTCCACCTGGTTCCCACACGGCGCTCGCTTCTGCGTCGTGACATCGCGGCCTGCCTTGGGTACGATGTAGACGCACTACAGACCTTGCCCACAGTGCCACGCATGAGTGACTTCTGTGACTTTGGTGCCGTGGCTCAGCATGTCTTGGTCGCGACACAATTTCCCCTAAGAGACCCAGTCACTGGCCTTCAGAGAGGAGTCTATCTGCTCGATCTTAGGCCTTTGCATTCTGGGTTGACTTGGGGTTTTGCCACAGGGCTCTCTATCCGCGCTCAGGTTTTGGTTGATCGGTTCACGCAGGCCTGCCCCATGAGCCACTACGTCTCCATCAGCGGAGCCAGACCGCGCCATGAGGATGATGGCCTGTACTTTGATTTCGACCAGTGCCAAGTCCTGACGGTGGATTACCGTGTTCAGCCTGACAGTAGTGATACCCAAGGGGACACCTCTGATGGCAGTGTGGATGGCGAGTCCGATGCAGATGATCTCAATGGACCGGACGGCGAGCCACCCTTCCCCCTCGAGCCAGACGAAAGGGAGGAACCAGCCATTCCGGCCGAGCGTAGCCGCAGCCCGCCACGGAGCCCCAGGGCCGATGCAAGACTTTTCAATGCTGGCCAAGAGGCTGCCGGGCGAATTCTGGCAGACTGCTGTGGTGTTTCAGCCAGTCGAGTTGCAATGTGGAGGAAAGTGTTTGTTGATGCCGCCCTTGCTACGGGCCTCTTTCCCTCACCCCTTGCCTCCTGGCAGTAATGCAAGGTGCATTCTTCTGCACGGCCGCTGGTCTGCACGCCCTACGGAGGCTAGCAACGCACCGACCAGGCGTGCGTCTAGGCTTTGCTGCCTCCTCTCGTCCCAACCAGTTCTGGGTGTGCAGCTCAGAGACGGGGTGTCGTCACCTTGGGCTGGCTCATCCTTCTCCGCGGGACTCCCTCTTCACCCTGACGCCAGGGATGCTGCGAGCATTGCTGAGCCCGCTCCTGTCGATGGGAAGTGCCAAGGCCACGCCCGGTCCCTACACCATGTCGCGGTACCACTGCTCCTGCTGTGTTTGCCAGATGTGAGTGTTACGCCATTGCTGATGACAGTGAATCAGAGGCAGAGGAGGAGGTTGCACCCACAGTTGATGCCCCGGGGTCGGCTGTTACCATCGCCCATGTGACGGATTCTGAGCTAACTGATGAGACTGAATGGGAAGTCTTTGGACAGTTGCCAGCCCACACTCAACAGCTGCCCCTTGAATCGCGTGCCCTTCTCTGGGCAGCAGCTGCCAGAGCTGACTGCTGTGCCTTCGCGATTGCAAATGCTATGCTGGAAGTTCTCTGTGAGGCCTTTCCGCTTGCTTCTGTGCCACAGGAGCCTGTGCATGCTCCCCCAGTGGGACGCTTGACTTCTGCCATAAGCCCGGGCCACATCCTCACGCTGGCCGACAAGCTGTGCCCTCCCCTTGTGCCTGATCTTCCCTTTCAACTGCATCCCTGGGCCGCCCGGCTTGAGACGGCCGGTGGCAGCCTTGACAGGACCATCCAAGTTGGCACTGTCCCTGTTCCTTTTACTTGGCAACAGTTTGTCCAGCTTTTCGGAGACGGTCCAGATCTTGTTGATTTTGCGCAGGCAAGTGCCTTCTGCCCTGTCCTGCGCCAATGGAGCCGCCCGGGTCTTGCGGATGCATTGACTTCTGCATGTCAGGGGTTTCCAGCTGATGACACTGTCTGTTTCACGGATGGATCCTACACTGCCGTTGAGGAAGGACAAGACCTTTGTGGATGGGCCTGCCTGTTCTTTCACCCTAGGTCGCAATGCATGCGATTCTTGTACGGGTCCTTTCCCACCTTCCTCGCGGAAAAGGGGTTTTGCCCATCCCCGTTCCAAGGGGAGGTTGCCGGCCTGCTAGCGGCTGCTCTAGCTACCACTGCCACCGCCCACGAGGGCGTCCATTTCCTGTCTGACTGCACTTCGGCTCTTGGCATAGCGGAAGGTGCCTGTTCATTTGCCCAGGGAAGCGTTGCCCAGGCCATGCGCTACGCGCACTGGCTGCGTTCCTGCTGCGCCCATGGGCGCGATTCCTACGAACACATTCGCGGACATCAGGGGCATGCAGGCAACGAGGTTGCTGATGTTCTGGCCAAAGCTGCGGCCCGCAAGGCTGGACCTTCGTGTGGGCTCCGGGCACACACACCTCTTCTGTGTGCTTGGCTTGGAGATGGGGCTCCCTATCTTCCATGGGCAGGATTGGTCGTGTTGCAGGGGATCTTTCCCTTCCCCCGTGCAGTACCACCGACCTGGGGGACGACAAGCATCATCATGGCCTTACCTGTGAGGCTCTTCTTGCGCCGTTCCTTCCGCAGGGCGCTCTTCCACAAGGGGGGCTTCCCGCGACAGTTCTGAGGAGACGGATGCCCGTGCTCTCTCCCGTTCCTGGACCTTAACCCTTGTTCTGGCCACTTTCAACACTCTGTCTCTTGGCCCCTCCTTGGAGCAGGAAGGTGCCAGCTGCGATGGAATGAAAGGCTTAGCTTTCCGCCCTGCACGGGCAGCTCTGCTCGCTGCACAGCTTGCCGACGGCAGTATGCTTGCAGGAGACCAGAGCCGACGCAGGCTTTTCGAGAGTTGGAGGCTTTCTGCGATTTGCAAGCGGCGCTAGTAGAGGCCAGTGGGGTACCGAATGGTGGTTTCAGGAAAATCACATTCTTAGTCCGTGCTCTCCTGCTTCGCCGGCGTTCCGGGAAAAGCACTTTACTGTCGTCTTCTCAGACGCCCGACGCCTGTTTGTTCGATTTGCGTGCAAGCCGGTCAGGATCCTTTTTATTGGAGTACACGCCCCACATCGAGCGACTGAAGGTGAAGCTCTGCTAAGCTGGTGGAAGCACACATCTAAGCTCGTCAGGCTGCATTCTAGAGACGAATGGGTTGTCTTTGCTGGCGACTGTAATGCAGCTGTCGGGTCGATCTGCTCAGACCACATTGGACCTCACGGAGCCGAGACGGAAGATGTGGCTGGAGAGCAGTTACATTCCATACTGCGCTACACTGACGGATGTATCCCTGCCTCTATGCCTGAACTCCATTCTGGAGCCACTCACACGTACACCCATAAAAGAGGCGGGAAATTGTCCCGCATGGACTACCTGTGTGTGCCCCGCTCATGGCTGCGTGGACGATGCTGCTCGTACCCTGCTCCAGGTGTTCATGCTGCACACAGCTGCCCAGACCATGTTGCTTTGGTCCTACAAATACAACTACCCTTCCAGGGACCACTGGCAGCCCCTGCACTCCGCCCCCGAGCCTTTAAGGCTGCAGACATCTTGGCGCCGGCTAATGCGGCCACTTTGGAAAAAGAGCTCTCTGCGATCCCGGCTGTGGCGTGGAACGTATCTGCCCACGCCCATGCGGCCATTCTGGTCTCCTGTGTCCAGCGGATCCTCACGAACCTGAGCCAGAAGAGCGGGCCCCGCCAGCACCGCAACTACTTGCAGCCTACCACCTGGCAGCTGCAGCGGCAAGTTGCGGCTGCGGGCAGGTCTCTCCATCGCCTGCAACACCAGATGCTCTGTCAGCGATTGGCGGTTTGCTTTGACACCTGGTGCGGCCGGCGCGACGCTTTCGCGACAACTAGTGGTGCCTCCTGGTGGCGGCAGGCTGATGTCGCGGTTGCTGCGCATCAGGCTGTGCTGGGACAATGGTGCTCCCGGCTCCGACAAGCCTGTCGGGATGACCGAGCTGCTTACATCGGCTCCCTGGCAGATAAGATCTCCACCGGCCCTTCAGCTGAGATCTTCCAACATCTCCACGCACTTTTGTCGCACAAGCGCAAGAAACCGTACCGTGCCGAGCCTCTCCCAGCCCTTCAACTTGAGGACGGCACGTTGTGCGCCGACAGAGATCAGCTGCTTGCCCGTTGGCGGCGCCACTTTGGGGGACTGGAGGCAGGTGTGGAACTTACTGTCCCGGCCTTGGTTGACCGTATGCGTTCGAGCCTTGTGGGTGCCGACGCAGCCTCTCCAGACTGGCCGCTCCCGGACTCCCTCCTTGATTTGCCTACGGAAGCCGACATCCAGCGACTTCTTGTGCAAGCAAAAGCCAACAAGGCGCCGGGGCCAGATGGGCTGCCATCGGAACTGGGCAGACAGTTTTCGAAACAGCTCGCGCCTCACCTCCATAGGCTGGCACTGAAAACAGCTCTTCGGGGGTGTGAACCCGCCGGCTTCAAGTCTGGTAAGGCTGTTTGGTTTTATAAAGGCTCCATGAGCGCGTGCAGCTCATACAGAGCGATCTTGCTCCTACCGGTGTGGAGCAAGATCCTTCATCAGTCGCTCCGCCCGCCCCTAAAAAACCATTTCCAGACTAAGTCTCCTGAGCTTCAGCTTGGCGGCAAATCGGGCATCAGCGTGGTCTTTGGAAGCCACCTCATCAGAGGTGCAGCACGTTATGCTGCTTCTTTAGGTTGCACGCATTTCACTCTGTTCACTGACATCGCCTCTGCCTTATATACCGTCATTCAGCAGCTCGTCGCGCGACATGGCGACCAACCAATAGGAGATTCGGCCTTCCAACAATCCACTCAAGGCCTTCGGCTCTCGACGGAGGAATCTGCAGCCTTGCGTCAGCACCTCCTTGCCCCCACAGCTATGAGAGCTTCAGGTGCTTCGCCCTGGCTGGAAGCCCTGACCAGCCGCTATCAGGAGGGCAATTTCTTCATGCTAAAAGGCGACGATCAGGTTGTGGCAACCTCCAGAGGCTCTAGACCAGGCTCCAGCTGGGCAGACCTTGTGTTTGCAGAGGTGATTACAAGGGTACTCCAGCGTCGGGATGCCTTGCGTAGTGCAGCCCACCCGTGCTCAGAACCTGTTCGGCTTCCTTGGGACGGGGAACGCACACTTGCACCAGTTTCGTCTCCCTGTGGCGAGGTGAATCTTGACAATGTGGTGTGGGCAGATGACGTCGCCATTCCTCGTCTGACCACTCCTGTGCAAGCGGCGTCTGCTTTGGCTCTGGAGACTAGCTGCCTGGTTGACTCCTTCAAGGAGTTTGGCTTTTCCCTTGCGTTTGGACCACATAAGACAGCAGGTGTCTTGAACCTTGTTGGAGCGGGCAGCAGAACGGCCAAGCGCCGTATCTTCGGTCTCACTGGGCTTGCTGGCGCCGTGCCTGTTGTCTTTGAGACTGGCAGCGTCCGCCTCCCCCTTGTGCCTTCTTACAGGCATCTGGGTACGCAACAAAGCCCAGGCGGGGGCCTGTGTCCTGAGATTCGATATCGCATCGCGCAAGCCAGAGCTTCCTCGCAGAGGGCCGTCGCAAAGTCTACAAGGTTTCGCAAATCTCGATTCGAAGGAAGGCCCACATCCTGTGTGCGACTGTCCTTGCCAAGCTCTTCCATGGAGCTGGGTCTTGGGGGCCCTTAGGCAAAGGTGAGCGGAGATTGCTACAGGGGGCCCTGTGGTCCTTCTACAGACCCCTCCTCGGGATCAAGCACTCGGACGACCAACACGTCGATGTCTTCTCCTGTCTTGCGATCCCTTGAGCTCCCTAGCCTTGACACCTGGCTACGCTTCCACCGGCTTACGTATTTTAGTCAGGTTGTGACTTCTGCACCCCCTGCTGTTTGGGCGGTCTTGAGAGCCGACCGTGCTCACTCCTCGCTTCTGCAGGCCGACCTGCGTTGGGTGCATCAATGGACATGGAGCACCACCTCCTTGCCCTGTCCTATGCAGGATTGGCCGGCATGGCTTGCCTTTATTGACGGCTCACCAGGCAAATTCAAAGGGCTGCTCAAGCGAGCCAGAGCCTTGGAAGGGCGGAGAGTCCAATGCATCGCTGCACTTCAATGCTTACATCGGTCTTTGACTATAGCCTACGGGAGGTTGACGGGTTCCTCGGACTCCGCTCTTGATGCGCCCCACGCATGGACCGAAGTCTGCATTCCATGTCGACGTGCCTTTGCTAGCCGCCGAGCTTGGGCCGGACACTGTGCGCGCAAGCACGGTTACCGCAACCACGCATATCTCTGTGCTGTCGACACCCTCTGCAAGTCATGCGGCAAGCAGTTCTCTTCGGTCGGCCGACTTCGCAGACATCTCCTAGCCCATCCGGCTTGCATCTCTACATGGGGCTCCTTTCTGCCGGCAGAGAGTCCTTCCACACAGCTCCACACACAAGCCCTGCCTGAGCCCCTGAGAGGCACTGATGCCCCAGAGGGGAGCTCAGGCATCCGGACTGGTGTCTCTTTGGGATTGCTCGAGGAGCTATCTTCTTTGCCGGTGCCTGACGATGGCTGTGCTTGGGAGATCGTTGCAAGCTATGTTGAGCCATTGGCTGTGCTCAGGGCCACTGTTCAGGAATGGGGCAGTGCTCCGGATTCCACCCCGGAGCAGGATGCTGTGAGCCGGAACCTTCTTCTGCTGTTGGATGTGGACTTGTTGGCTGATTCGCGGCAGCCTCTGCCTGCTCCTCTGCACCCCGAATCTGAGTCTGTCCCCGCCTGGCCTCTGCCGGGGGTGGCTTCCCTCGTATGCGGGGCTCCGCGTCAGGCCTTCTTCCTCGACACACCACCTTCCGAGCGCCTCAGTCCGTGGCACCCCGTCAGCATGAGACTGCGGGATGCTACAGGCCACGCTACATGGCTCGAAGCTGCCTGTTTAGTTCTTGCGCGGCTGGTGGAGACCTCCTAAACTCGGCCATGCCATGTACAGTGCGCTGGCATTGAGGATGCCCTTGGACCTGCTGCCGGCTGGATGCGAGCAGTAGGGTTTAAGGTAACATCCGACGAGGTCTCCACCCCTTTGTGATCTCTCTCCGTTTCACCTCGAATTTGGATGCTAGGCGAGCGCCTGGACAAGGCTCAACCGCTGCGAATGAAAAAAAGAGGTTGTGTATGCAGAAAGCGCTTTAGCAGGTCCAAAAGCCATGCTTTCTGCGCAGAGGAGAGCTCTTTGCAAAGTGGCGCAGGCCAACCAGGAGCGGGCCAAGGAGCTTCCGTTGACTTCGAGCCTTTTGCTGCGCTCTGCGGCCTTGGCGGACAAGGCCTCCAGCCTCCAGCGGCGCTCTAACCACAACTTTGAAAGGTTCGGGTTGGCTTAGAGGATCCCTGTGTTGAAATCTTTGGGGAGGATTGGACAGGGTGACCAAATCACAGAACATCGTTGAGCTAGCTGGACATCCGCTCCTGCACATGTTGATTTGTTCTTCGTGCCTCGTGGATACATTCCTCAGACGCGGTGTGGCAAGCATGTGGCTGCGGCGATACTGTTTGACCTAGAGCTGCGCAGTCCATTCGGTTAAACGTGAGGGCAGCTCATTCGTTGCGTTTAAGCGCCAGCGCAAGAGCCGCCGGGGCAGGGCAGGTGTGCATATGCAACACAAGAAAAGAAGAAGGGCGAAGGGGTGAAAGAACGGGGAAGCAGTGGAAAAGGCAGGGTGGGAAGCTAAATGCGGACACCAGCGGAGTGGAAGTGCAGGAAGCAAGAACCAACGGGATGGTGTTGCAAGCTAATCCGGCCATGCTGACTGGATGCTGAAAGAAATGCATCTGCAAGGGCAAGAAAGAAGGCGTTGGAGAAGGACGGGGGGCAAAGGGGCGTGGGGTCGGGGGGAAGGGAAGCGGGAGCAAAAAATACGTGTTCGGAGTTCGGATACCGTATTTGTAGGACACGCCCAAACTCCTGGGCGACCGGCCGCTGAAATGAAGGGGGCCCCCTGCCGGATGGACCCTTCAAAATTTAACCAAAAAGTCACAGAGAGGGGTTATGGGGGGAGGGCAGCACCGTTACATGGACGCATGGAAGCAGATCCAGACGCCTCCCAAAGTTTTCTGAAAGAGCGTCTTCGCATACGTACTGGCAGATGTGTTTAGATAACCGTCAGGGCTGCAGGAGCGGCCTCAACCACTCAGCATATGATGCGAAACATGAGATGATCAAGGAAATCCAGCATTGAAAATGCCGAAGACCAACCATCTCGTCTCGAATCCTTACTGACTTATTGGGTTACACAGAGAAGTTGAATTAGCGACAGGGGACAGACCTGGACTTGACCAAAGCCACCTTTCCGAAGTCGCCGAAAGTCGCAACGTCGACGCAGGGTGTCTTCTTTAGGTATCATTTCAGAAATCTGGCGGCCCGCATGGAGACACAGCTTCCCAAGACGGAAGGGAACAGTTGGATGCTCGAGAGTGAGAGCCACTGCAGCGATCCACACCACCTGTTGGTCAGCGGGTTTACGGCAAGTCCAATCCGAAAGGTCCGAAGCCACACTTCTGCTTGGAAACTCGCTTGTAGCGGTGCTTGCAGGTTTGGCTGGACGTTCATCTGGAGGATGTCTCCCGCTTGGGCGCGCCCGTGTCCACTCAGGCAAAGCTGCTCAGAGGGTATGACGACATTGGGCATGTAGCCGGGTTCAGGCATGAGGCCAGCATTGCACCGTCGCAAACCGGACTGCCCACATTGCATCTGGCAGGCTTGTCGTGCACATGTAAGTCAGGAGTTGCCGGGCTTTTGCGTGCGAGCCCACGGATTGTAGCCATTTCGCCGAAAGCGTGGCGAAGGTTTCTCGCGTGGAGGTGGTTTGGAGTTTGGATGGCATGTCGCGATGACCTTGTTTGGATGCCTGGTGAAGGGAGGTCATCTCTTGCTTAGTTGGCCTGTCAGTAAGGTTATCGTGAAGTGCTTTCTTATCTGATATTCTCATCCAACTTATTTTGACGTGATCCGAATACCCTGAAACGAAGCAGTTTGGTGGTGATCCTGGATGTGATGCTGAGTTTCTTTCGATGTTTCCCGGAGGTTGCTTGTTGGTCTCTGGGTGGCCTCCTGGTGGTTTCTTCCTGGCGGTCTCCTTGTGGTTCCTTGAAGTGTTCCGGGTGGTCTCCTTGTGGTCCCTGGTGATCTCCTGTTTGTCGTTGTCGTCCCGGTCGTAGAGGTCGGCAGGGTCTGGGTCAGTGGTAGTCGTGCTGGTTCTTCGGAGGATTTTTGTAGGATTTCTGGAAGGGTTTATGGGAGGGTCCATGAAAGGGTTAAAGTCATTGGATCGGTGGATGGGCCGATGGCTGGGCGGAGGGACTGGGTGGATCATGCATTCATGGATGGCCTAGAGAGGGGAGGTATGGATGGGTGCGCTGCGGGTGGATGGATGAACGAATGAATGGATGCAAGGATGCAAGGATGGATTCAGGATGGATGGAATGGATGGTGACGGATGAGCGGGTGGGTGTTGTTGGGCGGAATTGGAATCTGGCTTGTTGAGGTTGTCAATTCACAAAAATGTTGCTTCGCAGAGCGTCTCTCCGACATCCGCAGTTGTTCTCGGATCTTCGACGAGTTCTCTATCAACTTCTCGGCAGGACGGGTCCAGCAGCAGAGCTTGCGAGAGGTTGCATGATTAATTGGACGGAAGGTTCTTGAATTTGTCCCTGGACAGCATGCGGACGGTCGATGAATGTTACCTGACGAAGGGACTCCATCACCGAGACGAAGGGAGACCATTCTGGAGTCTGTCTCTTAGCACGATTGCGAAGATCTTTGGCTCCATGATGGGAACCGCAACGGAAGGAGAACGTAATGCATCAGAAACTCTTGCTGGTGTCAGGTCACGGCCAGCAAAATGGTGTTATCCGATGCAGGATCGCTCCCAGACGCCAAGGACCTTTGCATCACTTGCTGTGCAACATCTCAATGCATGTGCGTCCACGAATTGTCTGGAAGCTACTGTCGAAGCCATTCCGAAGCTGGCGATGTTTCGGGCTTGCCACCAAACTACACCCTTTATCTGATCCTCATCGAAGCACAGCGGGAACTGCCATTTAAACCCATGTAGCCCGGACGTGGGATTTTGCATCTCAGGAGGTGGCACTTCAGGTTAGTCTATCAAAAGTATGGCTAAGCTGGACTGGCAACGTGACTGCAGAGGCTGTTCAAAGATGGACCTGGTCGCACCGATGGCAAATGCCGCGATCTCAGACACTCATTCGATGACAGACGGCATTCCAATTTGGCAGTTGGGTTGGCTCTCAGGTTCCGAGCCATCGTCGAGCACAACCTTGTCCATGTGACTGGGCCGCACTCGAAGGGGCCAATCCAGCTACGGCATCCAGCAGTTGTAAAACCATGATCCATGCTCGGCTTTGGACAGGTCAAGCGCAAGAGCGAGAAGAGCCAACCAGCACCAGAAGGGGCCGAATCTGTCGCGTTCTCGGCATTCAGAGCGCAGCACAAAGAGCCACCCACGGTCCCACGAATCTATTCAGACCAGCACTGTTTGACACTTCTCGAACTACCAGGCTGAGCCAGTCGAGATTGTGGTGCACCGGACCTTCAAGGTCTCCGCCTTGAGGCCACGCTGAGCAACGCTGAGCGTGGCAGCTGTCTGCAGGAGAATCAGAGTGATGATGCCGTTCCTGACTGGGCCCACGGCTCCTTTGCCGCCATCGCGTGGAGCCAAAGCTCGAAGAGACGAGACCAAAGACCACAGAAGTTCCAAAGCTCCCGAAGGGTGCCGCTATGTGCCGCTGGCTGCCTGGCTCAGGTGCTCGAGTACGTGGCATCCCTGAACCAGAGGCGACCGAGCGGCGTAGGAGTTTCAACTTCTCGATGTGGCTTTTGTGTCAGTTTGCTGGGCTAGAATGAAGGTCTTGCAGACGCGATGGGTGCCTGCATTTGTCACTTAAAGGCTTGTGGATGCCGGTGAACTAGAAGAACCGGATAATTTTTTCTACCTGTTTTTTCTACCTGGGACGGAAGACGAGAGCAACGGGTGCTTCACTAGCCGCCGGTATGGCGGCGAGTATATTGTGTGTTTGTGTGTTTCACTGAAGCAGTGTGCGGCAGGCCGGAACAGCCCATGATCCGCGAACATGAATTTGACACACTCGCAGCGACCCTCGCACGGGCCTTGACTCGTCTGGGGATCAAAACAAGATCTGTCATGCACCAGCGTATGATGCACAGAGACTCGGAGAGCTTGGATCCGTTTCCCGACACAGAGGCACTCTGCTGCGACACTGCACTTCCTGGGGCGCCCCTGGGCAGAGCATCAGCACAGGTGCAGAGTGCAGCCGATTCCAGGGTATGTGGGTGTTCGAGTGAGGTCGAGACAGACAGAGCATTTAAAGAGTTGGGTATGCCCAATCCCCCTTCGACGTCCTGAATCAACATGCGGAGCCTCAGCCATCTGAGATCCTCTGCAGGTGCAGCAGCGGATGTACCAGGTGAAGGAGCTTGGGCCGATCTAGTGTCGGAGCTCCAACTGTACCAAGATCTCGAGAACCTTCCGGGGGCCAGGAGCTGCTTTACAACCATATCACGACTCACTTCCACGCGAACTCCGAGGACCGACGGATTGACGGGGTCTGTGCGCATCGATCGATTTTCGGGTTTCTTGGTTTTGCCAGTCTAGATCTTTGGCTTCGCAGAGTTTGTCGGTCGCTCATCGAAACGAACAGCTACGCAGCTACAGATGCCTCAGCCAGCCGCACCCGACTGTGCTTCCCACGAAGATTCGCCTGCCGCCACGTGGGGCTTCTGTGGCGACCTACTTCCAGGCCATCGGTCCAGGGCCGGCATTCGTTCTCCCAAGCCCCGCTCTCCAATCGCATTCCGCCTCTGCGCGCTTTGCTTTGTGCTCCTCAGACGGCCGCTCACCTTCTGATGGACATTGCGCGGCTGCCGCTGGGCTTGACCAGAGCACTTGAATGTTCAGCTGAGCTGCCACGGCCTCCTTGCCCAGGCTGTGGCTTGACGCAGACTTCGGACATGGGTCCATGGATGGGTGCTGAGAAGAGACTTGCAGCCTTTGCCGTCGCAGACACACAAGCAGATCAGGTCTTTCTCCCCGAGCCGCGCGAGATCTTCTCGGCTCAGATCTTTGCGGCCGGGAAGGGATGTCTCGACACCGTCCAGTGCAGATGTAGGACGGGCATTGCAACAACAGGCGCTTTACATGGCTGGTGCGTACGAAGCCTGGGAGCTGTACCACCGGCATGTCTTGGGAGCTGTTTCGGACGAGGATTTTTTTCAATCACTTAGGGGGAACTCTGCATAAAGAAGTTCAGAGAGCGTGCTGTGAGGTCGTTCCCGGAAGGGGACTCGGCTTGGCAATGGGAGGACCATTATCCCCAACCCAACTGCTGCCTTGCTGACATGACTGCAAATGTCAGCACATGTCAAGATCGGTTGGTGTATTTGTGTTAGACGATGTAAGACGTGTGTGTGCGTATGTGTGTGCACAGCAACAGCGTGAACGGCTTAGCTGCCCGAAGCACTTCGGCTCGACGCTCCTTCAGCTTTACTGCTAGCATCATTTTGATGTGTGCCCTTGACGTCATGGCCTTCTGGCGAAGTGACTTTCGATGTGACACCTGTCCTGGTTGTTTCGGCGGACGATGCTGCAGACCTCGACGCTCTGTCCATCCTCACCGCCCTCCTTGATGGTCGCAGACCGATTCGGCGGACGAGATTCTTGCCTTCTCTTCTCTTGAATCGAGACTTGTGGCTCGCTGAGGCGGCGCAAGGATGAGCCGTGGATATCCCGGCATCATGGAGTCCGACAGCCCGTGCGGGGGGTGACCGTGCCGTCTGGCGGAGGACCGGTGACCGACGCGTGGTGATACTGAATATTGCAGAGGCCATGCGTACGGTGATGACACCCATCGGGCTCGTCGCCAAAACCAGTCGGATCGGCCGATCCACCCCCTGTGGCCCAGCTTCTTCGGAATCTGCTCCGGTAGTGTCGAGGTGGTCATAACAGTCGAAAAGTCACGGCCAATGGGCTCGAGAATGCAGGAGCAGGGGCGCAAGCTTTCTTGCTCCTGGCTGTGGGGTGGCTACAACTCATCCGGTGTCTGCTGTCACCAGTTGCGGGTTAAAGCGGGGCATGTGGTGGGGTCCGCTTCGAAGCTGTGCACGCTGCATTTCCGGTCCTGGTGGCGTGCGCAGGCTGCATGATCGAGTTTCGCGAGTCCTTTCGAAAGCCGACTTTTCCAGAGCTCCATGGGAAGGTTGGACGAGGATCCATACCCCAGCGTCGTGCATTATGCGCAGCCTCGTGGTTCTACGGCGGCCGAGGGTTTTGAACGGCGGAGAGGTGCGCTTTCTACCGCACGAAGGAAAAGGAGTGTCGTTCGTGTCTTTGGGCATCTACGGCTATCGGAGTGCGACGGTTGTTGGTAATGGTGTTGACCTGATGCACCTTGGCTATCCTGTCAAGGAGATCATGAATCAACTGGTGGAGCTCAGACATGAGGACGGCGGCAGATTTCAAACCAATCTTTCAGAAAAGTTGATGTCGGCCTCTGAGGTTTCTGTTTAACTAATTCAGAAGCTAGCATGTCAAGCATGTGACAGTTTCTCCTGACAGTCGCTGTGAACGATCGACCGTCTGTCAGCTCTGGAAGTGGGAAGCGCATGAAACACAGAGGGGAGACATCTGCCTGCATGGAGGTTCTCTGGTGTCAGCCATTCCGCACCTGGCGAGAGGACGGTGTTGGACGCTGAGTGGCAGTTGAAACTTCGAACATGTTAGCAGCAGAGCAAAAATGCCGGCACAGAATTTTGGTGACAGGCAGGGCTTTTCCTGCTTTGCCAAGATGGCACCTCTGCACCGGAACAGGTTACGGTGGTTAGAGCTGAAGAATTTAGTGTCGCAGTCCTGCAGGAGCTTCTTTGGAGCCTCCGCCCTGGGGTGATTGCCCGGGCGCTCGAGATGTGAAGCTTCGAAGGATAGTAACTCGTGGCCTGCTTTGTTTGAGCTCCGCCCCTGCCGACACCCAAAAAGATCAAAAAGGCTTGGCCCACAGAGCGGCAACTTGACGAGGAGCGGAAAAAGTGGGGCACTCGGGCGCAGGAGAGTCGCGTCGTAGTAAGGGTGCTGGACGGGATGTTTCAGATTACGTGTTGCCAGGTGTGAGTTCTGGTTGATCTAGCGGATAGGAGGTGTGAGAAGCACATCGTGACAGCTGCCCTCATCTATGCTGTGAGTCTCCAACACTGTCACAACGTCCGGTTCGACCCCTGTCCCCCAGACCGAGTCCTCGCAGGGTTTCAAAGAGCCAAAGCCGGGAGCCTCAAGGTCGTCGCACGTCGAGGAGTTGCCCATCGACGAGCACCGTGACAAGATGCTCGAACAAGTTGGATCCAGGGTTCTTTTACAAGGGCTTCGACCACTGGTCGTCGGGTCGTCGGGAAAGGAAGAAAGGAAAGCACCTGTCACTGGTCTCTTGTGCTCCAGAAGCTGCTTTCTGACATCGAGGATCTTGAAGCACATCGAAACTCATCGCGTCACGTCGGCTACCCTGGCTTGCCAGCTTGTCATCGGTTGGGTTGTGGTTTTCTGCATGCGTGCCATAGAAGTGTAGCAGTGTGGAATACTTGTGCTGCTTTAGGTGTGTTTGTGCCAGCCATTTAGACTCAAGGTTGATATGCAGGTCATCGTTCAGTCTTTCGCGTTTTGTGCCAGGAGGCTTAGAGAGAGTCCTCATCACAAGAACACATTTACCGTGTGTGTGTGTGTGCGTGTGTCTGAGCCAAGAAGTAGAGAGTGTTTGGGGCTTTGAGGACGTGGGTTTGCTTCTCTGGGCCATGCCACTGCGGCAGAGCTTGTCTCTGACAGACTTGAGCTCCTTGGGTGGAAGCCGTTCGACGTCTTTTTTCGATGCTGTCAAGGCCAAGAAACACCAGTTCCCTTGGGAGACGAATGATGGGATGTTTGTCATGGGTCCCATCGGGGACATGCTGCTAAAGAAGCTAAAGGAGAAGGACGTTACACCGACAGCGGATCCAAGAAGCTATTCAACCAAGTCCTTCTGCTCTACACCGGTATCTCCCTCTACAGCACTCCGGCGTGGGAAGTGCAAGATTGCTGGCAGCAGGTGCAAGCGTTACAACCCTCGCCTCTTTATCCCCCAGTCGTTGATGGACGGCTTGGAGATCGCCAATGAACTCAAGACTGCGGCGAACAAGCTGTTGGAGGAGGCAGCCGACGACGTGCCCTATGGCATCGAAGAGACCGGAGAAGAGGAGGCCACTGGGCGACGAGAGATCTTACCGGGCATCGCACCTCATGATCTGGCCTTCGAGCTGGAAGAACCGATCCCGAACGGGGCCCCGGTTTTCACAAAGCCAGGCCGAATTGCACGTTTCAGAATCAAGGAAGAGCGCTGGAATCGAGAGATTTTGACAGCTGGCACTGAAAGTGTGAAGGGGGTTCTGAAGCGCCTCAGTGCCTCCGAGTTCGCCTGCAACATGCAGCTTCTTGGGGAGCTGCGGGAGTGGTGCGACGGATACCGGGCCATCAAGGCCAAGAGAATGTCACAGAAGGCCTTTCAGCTGGCAGAGGACTGGCCAGTGTTGTTTACACGTTGTGCAGCAACCCCCCTCTCGAGCTTGGGCACCGCTTATGCCTATGCACAAAAGGTAGCATGAGAGGCTTTTAAATAGAGGCCAATCTTGAGAACAGTGAACAGCTGACCTCCGCGATCTGTTGTTCCAGAGTTTTCGTGCAAATCCTCTCCTGCATTTTGTTTTGACTTTGGAGCTCTCTGCTTGGTACCGGCATCGGCATGCTCCGGTATCTGTTTCGGGTTTTGGGGTTTTCAATTCGGAGGACCGCGAGCTTGCTTTGCAGCGCCGCACTTGGAGTGCCAAGCGCAGTGACCAAAACCAGCCTGAGCTGGTGGAGCGCGGGCAGCTACGGGCCAAGAAGCTGGGTGAGCTCGCCGCCAAGGATGTCGAGCACACGATCGACTCAGCGCTGGAGATCTGCCATTGTGGCTACCAAGAGATCTGGCACGAGGGACCTGTTTCTTTTGAGGCTCCTCGTGTCCCACAGCGCCGCAATTCGCGCCGGCTTTCAATCTCCAGGTCCCCACTGGAAGCGATGGCACCGGCCCACGTGTGTTCCTCAGAGACATCGCAAAGCCCGGCACTGATCTGCACCGCCGTGCGGCAATCTGGTGGCGAGGAGTGGGGAATGCAGCTCTTGTCCTTGCGTTTCGACATCGGCCGAATTGAACGATCCCGTTCTCCCAGTACAATCCCAAACGCCATCACTCGGCCTACCGTTGACACTGCCCGGTAAATGTTGACAAGTCTGCACGTGCGTTCTGTGTGTCATGCCATGCCTACTATGAGTTTTTTCCGTGCCTTGCCCATCCGTGCACCGACCTTGCGGGAAATCATGACTCCGGTGTGCATGGTTTTTGCGGATCTCGATCATCACTTTCGCAAAAGCCCTACATAACAGTGTCGGACCTTGTGCATGGTCACATGCCTGCCACACAACCAAGAGCCACTCTGTCCTGTGCTACATCCGACGAAGATCAGGTCTGGTTTCACTTCGTTTCTTTCTATCCCACTCATGTCCCCACTGTTTTGAAAACCGCAAAACTCCCATGAGCCAAAAGTCTCGCGGCTGATCGGCCTAGGAACCGATCTGCTGGGCCGATGCATAGGGCAGCCTGAATATTTTTTTTGCTCCTTCCCTCTAAAAACTAATCGCTTTTTGCGTCACGGTTTCATTTGCGTAGCGAGCCACGCGGGGCTGCAGCTTCAATCGTTCGCGGGCATCTTGATTCGGCACTTCTGCTTTTCTCGTTGTTGTGGTTCATAGTTTTGGTGTTGAACCCAGAGAAGAACATCATGCCTTCCCCAAGCACGTAATTATGTCAGATGCGGGTTCAGGATGCGGTGCTGTCCGAGGGTCGCCTCTCCCTTCGGCATGCTTCTGCCTGAGTTGGCTACGTGAGGGTCCATGTAAATCGGGCTTTGTCGGGCTGTGTTCCTCGTAGAAGGCGACCTGAGGCCCACACCAGGAGATGACGACGAAACGAGAGAGAGAGAGAGAGAGCCATAGCCCTGGCGAAAGAAGAGAGAGAATTCAAAGATTGTTTCTTCACGGTTCCTTCAATCTGTCCCAGGGACAACACGTGGGGTGAGGCCCCAGGATGAAGCATCCACAAGATCTGTAGTATTGTTGGTGCCAGGTAAGTAACGAAATTGAGAGGAAGGTTATAGGAGGATGGAATTCGGGAAGATTCGCTCATGCAGAGTTTCTCCAAGGTGAGGCCCATGATTGGCACCATCAGCCCAACCTGAACTCCCAAAAGCTCGGAAAGTTGGATGCTCCAACCACTCTTGCTGCCTGAGGATGACCCGACTGCGGCTGTGATTGCTAGAAAGACAGCATCAGGGAAGTAGGGCTTAGGGGCGGTCTGAAGCCCTTGAAGCTCTGCTCGTCATACGAGGCTGGAGCATCGATTATGGCGGCAAGCGCATGAGCGGCTCACGGGAGAAGTCTACAGTTACTATAGTTCGTTCTCACATAATTGTCGAGTTTCTGAGGGCAGCGACGAAGTCTGTACCCTTGGCACTTCGCTCTTGCACTTGCGTGGATAGCTCTTAAGTTTATGGTTTCGATGGATGCAGTTTCCTTGAAGGAAAGCTCTTCTTTTCTTTAAGCAGCCATGCTGCTTACAAGATGCCCGCGCCATGCGCATTCCGAAAGGAGTATCAGCCGGAAGAGGGCTCTTGACCTCATGTGCAGACTCGAAAGTGCGAATTCGACACTCGAAATTGATGGGTCCCTAACGAAAGGTTTGCCAACTTTTAATGCAGCTTTCACCAAGTGAAAGCTCAGTGTGGACCTGCTGCACAAGCAACAAACTTTTGTGCTGTTGGCGGCTTGATGATGCCAGCGCGCTTTGTTTTGTGTGCGAGTGTCGTTTCGTGGAGCTGAGGTGCATCCAAGGCGAGACAGGTTGTGGCAAGTCAACTCGGGTGCCGGTGTACGTGATGGAGGATCTTCACGCGTTATGTGATGGCACTGCCATGCGACTGCCAACAACCTACTGTTCCGAGCTGGTTGGCTTGGCAGGAGTACTTGGAAAAGCGACGAGCTGGTAAGGTTTCCAAGGAGGATAAGTTCATGGTCCTGTGCACCCAGCCGAGGCCTGTTGTCCTTGTTGGAAACATGACATTCACGAGCAACTGTGGACTGAATCGAAAATGCGGATGGGGAAAGAACTCGCAGTTCGCAGCTTAGAGCTTGGAACATCTGAATCGAAGCCGTTTCGAATCGAAGCCGCAGTTGCCACAGTCGCAGCAAGCACATGGTTTGCAAAACGAGACCTCAGGCTTCTGCTTTAATTGGCTGGAGCATCAATGAGCATCAATAACATGTTTTGTTCCGGTTCATTCGTTCTCGCAAAGTATCGCAGAAGCGGGCATGGCGGTCGTGACAGCTGGGTGCTCATTTGGCTCAGCCTCTGGCTGGCTGCTGCAGCGGCGGCAGCTGGGTTTTCTCCGGACATTCAGACCTGTTGGCATTGCACGATTTGGCCTGATGAGGGGACGTGCCTTTGGGACCGGCACCTCCCATCCCTCTGTCCCTCCTCGCCGCCCAGCACCTCCACCATCTGCACCATCGCCACTACCCCAATCACCAATATCTTCAACACCTCCAGCTGGTTCAGGTAAAACTCCTGTCCCAACCTATCTGCGTGCAGCCCTGCACCGTGAAGTCGCATCTCATGCTGCCGCACAAAGACCGCAAGCAATCTTCGAAACACTCTGGCGGTATGTGGACAGGTTCCAGCCCGAACTGATGGATTTGGATGCATGCTTGCACTCTTTAGTGAAGTGCAATACGGAGTCTTGGAGCTGGCAGAAGTTTGCGAGAAAGGCAAGAGGCAAGGTGGTCATACGCACTGAAGACCTGGTGCGCTTACTTTCTCATTTGGAGCGGGAACTACTCCATGAACATGGGAGATGCTCGGCTACATTATGCCACGTGATGACTCCGTTCCATGCACCAGAGGGGTCGTGAGGTTGCATAGAGGAGAGCTGCTTGCTGAGATGGCAGCGACATCACGCGGTCTCTTGCAACCTCCGCTTGGGACATGGCCTCAGATGTCAATGCCGGCACTTGCGTCAGATAGAGCTCTACTGCTTTGCAGCACTGCACAAACCAAGTCCCTTTTGGCATGATGTGCAGTAACATGTTCTGAACCCTTGCGAATCCATGCGAATCCTGTTGCAGGGACAGCTTTCCTGCCGTCCGTCCAATCTATGCATCCCTCCGTCCATAGGTCCGTCCATGCAGAGGCATCGACCTGAAGGCATCAATGCAGGAAAGTCTGAAGGAAGGAAGGAAGGACTGCCGGAGGGAAGGACGGAAGGGAAGGAAGAAAGGAATGAAGGAAAGCAGAAAGGAAGGTATGAATACATGAACGCCATTGTTGGCAGAAGCGAATGATGGCAGAAGCGAATGAGTGAGCTGCTACAACTATTAACTATTCAGCATGAGGTAAATATGTGAGCATGGAGCGGGGCAGTTTGCGTGCATCTGTGTAGGTTCATGCTGAACGTTAACTATCTACCCGTACCGTTTGGGTGCCGTTCCCCCGCCTAGGCCCGAGAGCTCGGTCATGTGTAGTCGAAGGTTCCGTTTGAGAGCGGTCACCCGTGAGGTGTCGTGCCAGCGTGCTCTGAAGTCAGTCTGGCGTGAAGCAGAGTCTGAGGCGCTTGCAAGCCTCTCACGCTGGCAGCCCGCAGTGAGTCGAGAGGCAGGCGACACAAGTCTAGAGCACCTCAGCAGCTAGTTGAATCGGACATCACGACATCGTACGAGGGGCATGATAAGCCTTCTCAAGGCAGATTGCAACAGCTCGTCATGCATCTCGCTTTTGACTTCATTCAAACTTTTGGAGAAGTCTCGGTACGACTGCGATGTGCCTCTGTGGTCCAAGGGTCTCAGACTGGGGTTGACTGCTCCCAGTGCTCAAAAGAAAGCGAGGCTTTGCAACAGATGCGGCCCATCTTCACACTTATCGAGGACTTCCACCCCGACATGAAGAAAGAAATTTGCCGAAGCTTTGTACGTAGTGGACTCGGCCTTGTGTGGCCCGTTTCGATCAGCAAAGCAGCCAGAGTCGGTGTTGAAGTTTAACAGATAAGGAGACGTAGCGCCGCAGGATGGCGCGTGGGGATGGAGAGACCACTATGCACTGTTTCGCATTGCAGAAGATATGCAGAAACAGGCCCCATCGCAGCAACAAGTTGAAAGTGAATTAATGCCGTGACGTGCTAGCTGCTAGCTCCAGCACCCGATGGCCAGTCCAGGATTACTAGAATTCAAAGTCAGCCTTGATGAGAACCATGCCTGCTAACAGTCATTCATAGTTGTCTTATCTGTCTTGAGCTGTCTGTCTATGCTGTTCATGGTTTAGTCCTAAAGACCCGAGGACCTGGCTAAGCCATTGTTCCCTAGCTTCGCGCCAGGAGCTCAGGTAAGGGAACCTTCCAGGGGAAACGGGTGGGGAGGTGCTTCTTGGCTTTGGCTGAGGCTCAACAATCTGTCGATGCTGGCTTGGGGATTTGCCCGATCTGGCCTGGGGGTCGGCGGCCAAGTTAAGCCGAACTGCGTGCATACGCACATGCAGCATTGAGACTTGTATGCAAGATGTCCCGATCCCAAATCAGATATAAATGGTCTGCCAAACTTTCTCCGAGACCAAAGAGCTATTCGATAGCTTCGGCCATGCAGCTCTGGTTCGGCAGCATCAGTGCTCTACTCAGCAACGTTAGCTTGTGGTTTCATCTTCTTGGCAGGCCGCCAGCTGTGCTCAGTCTCAGTGTTCGCAAAGTTGCCTGCTATGGCTAAGGCTGAGCGCGCGGGACTTGGCCAATTTGACCTGGTCCTTCGCAGCAGCGAAGCTGTCGCACGAGCTTCTGAAGCAAGCCGCGCGCTCGGGCTCATCGCAAGCTCGGCCGCTTGATCTTGGGCGGGTCAGCGGCAGGAAGGATCGGCGCTGTCATACGCGGAAGGTAGCTTCTCGCATAGTTTCCTTGGAGATGAAGCCGTGTAAGTTGGAGCTTGCGAACTACACATCCGGAAAGGGTTGTGGGACTTGTGCATTAGATGCTGGTGCGCATTGCGGGGTTGGCGGGGAGGGTGGGGGTGGGCAGGATGTCTGGGATGTCTATAGGCTATGCTTGCATGTGAACATTGCCTGTGTGAGGTTCCAGCATTGGTCCTGGAGGCGCCGCGCGCTTGTGGTATTTTGGCAGTATGCATCGTTGGTGGTCCGCGGTGCGAAGTCATCACGGTGGGTCCGGGTGCTTGGATGTATTCAGTTGGTGACAGATACAACTTGACGGATTGGAGCCTGCTGTTCAGCTCTCCATGATGACACGCCTACCTAGGTTCATGCTTCGGTTGTGTTTGCAAGCATCCAACAGCAGCTGGTTTGTGGATCATTGGTTTGGACGCTGAAGCAGGACTCGCGTGGTGTGGCAGCCTTCGAAGAGCAGGTTCGTTCGAAGTCGGTGAGATCTGAGCAGTTCGTCTCCAAGTGTGCCTTTTTGGTCGATCTGCATGTGGTAAGGCACTACTGATTGATCAACGTCCCTCGAGGGCCGCATGTGAGCCTTGAAGCCACTTGCTGCAGGACTTGTCCACACTAGCCTGGGGCCGGGGCCCGAAGAAGCACATCTGGTGCACGCGCGACCTAAACTGCGCAGTTTTGCCGCCATCCGGCTCACCGGTTTCCGCTTGACGAGAACAATCATATGGCATTTTCATGCATATTGCAGGGATCTAATGGGATCTATTCCTATATTCCACTCCTGGTGTCAGCTTTAACACGAGCCCGGACCCCATGAGGTGTCAACAAACGGAGCATGATTGAGCTCGCATCTGTGCTTTGAGAGCCGTTTTGCTGAGCCAGTGTTGTACAACGGTTGCCTCCCCAAGCTAGCCAGTTGCCAGCCTCGATGGTATCTGCATCGGGCACGATTGCGTTGGTCATGGAGTCGGCTACCGACTACTAGTAGTTGTGTTGCCGATTCAGGGATATCTGTCTGTCTGTCTTTTTCTTCTGATTCTCTGTCTCTGTCTGTCTGTCTGTCTGCATGTATGACGGCATGGATGCATGGGTGTTTGTATTCATGTATGCATCGATGGATGCATGGATGGATGCATGGATGGATGGATGGATGGATGGATGGATGCACGGTATGTACTTATATTCATGTAGGCACGTATGCCTGTAGGTAGGAGGTAGGCAGGTAGGTGGGCGGGTGGTGGGCAGATATACGCGTGCATACGCCTTTGCCTGCAAACGCTCTCTTCCATCCTATGAGTAGCATGCATCCTGTCGTCAACACTGCGAAGGTGTCCGAAGTCGCCCAATCCAAGCCGAACCCGATCAGGCCTGGCAACCCTGCGCCTTCGTGAAGAAGAGCTCCTGCAAGCTTTGGGCGAGGAGGTGTCGAAATGCCTCCGCTTCCGCACTACGATCTAGGTTTCGTAGGCGCAGATAGGAGGCTGGGAAAAGGTGTGGCGAGCTGAGACACTGCACCTCTCAAGTGGAGCCTGCATCCTGTTTTGATGCGACATGTGTTCTAAGCAGAGGGGCTTAGAGGCTTGCAGCCTGTACAGGAGCGTAGCTGTAGACTTGCTGCAGGCGAGAGTTAAACTTGCCAGCTTCACCGTCCCCGGCCTGATCTGCCACAGCCTTGGCTTTTGAGCCGTCTGAGTTTCACTGCTGCGTGCATCTGTGGGGCGTATCATGTTTAGGACAGGGCTAATGCAATGTGGAGTTGTTGGGCGGGCTTCCCCAGCTTGACTGGGTCTGGCGGTGTTACTGCTGAAGCATCATGTGTCATTCGTCGCTCGTCTTCATGTTTTGGCTCGATTGGGCTGCAATTTGACGAGGGCGACTCTCGCCGGGAACCGAAATCATCACGCCAGACAAATCTCGACACTTTCCACCGTGAAGCTTCACTCCGCATGTCGGGCTTCAGTTTGCCTCGGCTTGCAGACGCTGCGAAGCGCATAGCAAGCCAGTGCGACTAGCCATGGAGGTTGAGTTGCAGTTGCACATAACTGCCATTTCTCTTTGAATGCGCGGAACGGCAAAGAAGATCCAGCAGACACAACCCCAGACCCAGAGCAGACTTGGGCCAGAACAGAAACGCAAGTGGCACGGTGGCCGGTGTCGTGCGTCCCCCCTCGTTCATACGACCAAAATTTCTAGCAGTTTGTCAACTGGATTTAGCCTTTGAGCCGTTGGGTAGCAGAAGGCCTTTCCGAATCTACAAGCGCAGGACACCGTCAGTGTGTCATGAGACCAGCTAGAGATGCCCACACAAAGCTTGTGACTAGGTGTGACAAGCGGCGTGAGTGATGCTCCGTTCCTGCTAAAACGTGTCCCAATAGCTTCGACATGAAACAACGAGAACAACAGGGCCAGACTCAGGTACAACTTGGGCCTTCGCCAGTCTGCGAGTCAAAGCACCTTTCGTGCGCGAGGCGCAACAGGGATGGCACAAATCAGAGAGCTTGTCCAACGGTGGCAGACTTGATTGTCATGATTGTCTGAGCAGTGCTTGCGAGATGCTGAGTCAGAGGCCTCCGTGGTAGATCATGTGCTTAGAGGCTGAGAGGGTTGCCGCACGTTGCCAGTACAACCTCTCTTGCAGATTCTTGATTCCGGAGCGTTGTTCAGCATTTTTGGCCTCTGTGTAGGCGGCATGGCAGGGCTCTTTGGAGTTTTTGCCTTTTCTCGGAGAGGAAACCTTGTACATCTAGCAGCACTTCAGAGAAAAGTCAGTGCGCCCTCAAAGAGTACTTCGGACAAATTCCCAAGCGCTTATGGGAACAGGAAGCCAGCTTGGTTCGACTAAATGTGGGCTCTTCACTGCAGATCCTCAACCCAACCGAGAGGAGAGAGCGGAAGCCAGATGTGATCACCATGGCTGCCTGAATTGAAGGAAATCTGTGGAAGCCGTCAGTCGTGCCATGCCTTGCCTGCCATGAGGCTCTGGACCAGTTGCGTCATTCGGGCAGGCAGGCTGCAGTCATGGGCAAGTCTTTCCCTCAACGCTTGGTGCATAGAAAGGTTGGAGCCCCGGGGGTGCTCGATGATGCTTTGGTCTTTGGCTTCGCTCCGGCATGATGATCGCAGTGAGTGCGGCTCCCAGTCCGGATAGGCCAAGAGGCCTTTCTACCTGCATTTCGTAGCTCAGGCTGTTCTACTACAGCATGGCCGACATGGTCATTTTGTTGGCGCCTGAGAGCGAGCCGCTCCGCGATTGCAACCGATCCGTGCGCATGTACCCTTGCGCAAGTGCAGCCAGAGCAAAGCCAAAGATGGAATGCGAACCAGTAGAATGTCAGGAGCGGTGGGAAGATGCAAGAGCCGATCCAGTCAGAGCATATGCGGCTGGAGACAGAGAGATTAGATTAGGAAATTTCCCTCACCAACTTGCATGCGCTTCGAAACCACCGCAGACTTCTCAGTGCACGCATGGCCCAGGCCTCGTGCACGGGACTTTGAGGCACAGGACCACGAGGGAAGATGGATGACTCAACGCATTTTGTGGCCCCCGCATGAAGAGACGCGTTTGCGTTGAACAGAGGACGTTTCCAACTGCCTCTGGGCTTTCGCCACCGCCCGTCAGACCCTCAGATTCATCTCGCAAAGGCAAGGCCGACACATCCGATATCTGGTCAGGCGTCTGGCGTTCGCAGCCCCCCCACCCCCCCCCCCCCCCAAATGGTATGGTCTGGTACGGGGTGGGGGAGGGGGCTGGCGTGTGCGGAGGAGGGTGGGGGGTTAAGCCCTTGTCGACTCGAAGCCTTTTACCTTGAAAACCCAAAACCTCAAAACCCAAAACTGAAAAGGTTAAGCTAGACCCAAAACCCCAAAACCCCCGCAACCACCAGGGGGGGCCGCGGAGCGCGTGACCCTGTCTACATCTAAAGCCGAGCCAAGTTCAGGGAAGCTCAAACCAAGTGGTCCAGACTTCCAGAAGCCATGTGCGTTCACCAACTCGTCCAATCTAAGCAGCATGAACTCAAAGTCTGGGAAAGCAGAAGCAGTGTCCAGCGAGCATGAGGGTAGGTTCCGACACGAATCTGCACAGAGCGCTGAGGCGTCCAGCATGAGGCTGTGTTCCAGGCGTTGGTTTCCCAGGCCATGCAGAGCATCCACAGATTCACGTCGCAGGCCAGAGGGGGGCTGTGAAGCGAGGGCAGTGGGGGGCTGAAGGAAGTTGGTGGCATGAGCCAAGGCTAGGGTATCTAGTTCACGTGGTCATCCGAAGTCTCGGAGGCCTTGGCGAACACGACCTGGGCTTCCGCCAAGATGCATGCTCGGGAGGCACTCGCTTTAAAAGTTGAAGGTTCAGGCTTGCCGTCGAGCACAGCGATCAGCGACTATCCGGTGTTTTGGCTCAGGCCAAAGCCATGGTTGCGGTTGCAGCCGATGAGGCTATGGAGCCCAGTTGGCACAGCTACTGTTCGGTTGCTGCCATCGAGAGCAGGCTCTTCGTCGTCCCCAACGAACGTGGTCGTCACAGGCCAGGATGACTGCAGAGAACATATATCTGTGAAGAACATGTCAGTACCGTTCTCCCCTTTCTTCTCGGACGACTAGAGCGGATGTAAGATTTTCCTTCGATCTGCAAATCTCTCTGCGACTGTGTGCGCAGACGGGCTGTGGCAGGAGGGCTTGCTCTGTGAAAGGGCACGGACTTAAACGAAACAAGCATCAGGCGAACGAGGGGCTTTTTCTTGCCTCACGTCAAGTTCCTCGACAGGGCTTGGTGACGTTGTGCTGGGCGTCCGCAGAGGTTCAGGTAGCACCTGTGCGGCTGCCAGGGGCCGAGCTTTGAGTGACGGCAAAGGCTTGAGTTCGTCTTGAGCATGGCATACCGCAACGACATGGGCACATGTCGGGCTGAGTTGAAAGGACCACAGAATCCAACTCCTTGAGGCTGACCTCCGTCACAGAGGAGTTGCACAGCAGGCCCAACGCATTCAACGCGGGGAGCCTGGCAAGTTCCTGACGCCGTCCGGCGTCACACATTGGATGCCTGGAGGATGTTGACCTGGCCACGCTGGTCTTCACTCTGAAGGACGCTTCCTGGCGACCCTCAGTGGTGTAGGGAAGAGCTGGGAGTCAGGTTCGCTCTTGAGCGCCAATAACCGGAGCCTTCTGGCAAGTGCATCACCGTTGTATGAGCCGAGCTCGTATGTTGGTGCACATGGGCCTGCCTACGTCCTTACCCCTGCACCGAAAAACGTGGTGGCCGCGAGGAGGAACTCTGGCAGGAACACCAGCACATCAGGTTCGAGCAATGTTGGAAGACTTCGAAGAAGGAATGAGGGGAAGTTCCTGTGGGTCGCTTGGCAGGCAGGCCTGCCTCCTCCGAATTCGAGCAGAGACCGCCAGGCTGCGACATGTGTCTTCTGCCAATTCTTGACAAGGTTTTCTTGTTAGTTTCATAGCCACCAACATGTGAAGTGACTGCACATCCGGATGCAGCAGTCACTGCGCACTAGCTGACCACCAGGAGGCATTTGCCGGCCACTTCTGCAATGTTGAGGTTGAGAGCCCAGAGCATCCTTGTGCATCGATCTGTAGGTTATGGGCCTGGTGAGTGCAGTCTTGTCAGGGCGCCCCCGCATGGAAGGTCGGTGCCGAGCATGCCCGACCCAGCGAAAAAGTCTTTGACACGCGTGTGGTGTCAGCAAGATTGGAAATCAGAGAGCAGTAGACTAAGTCGGCAAATTAATTGCTGTGTCATGTCCAAGCACCGGCACAGCATCAATGGCCTTTTTTCGGGCTGATGTCGGAAGGCGCATTGCTTGCATCTCCCTGGCGAATCGGGTGGCCTCCTGCATCAAGGACTTGGTCGCAGTTCCTATGCGGTAAAGCCGGCGGTCATGCCCAATCAATTATTACTGTTGTTGCCGCTGCCGCAGCTGCTGCAACGCCATTCTTCCGAGTTTCAGGCGTTTCATTCGCCGCACATTTCGTGGCTGATGAAAGCAGCAATGCCATTGCCTACTTCAAGCTTAGCTGCCACGCAGCTTCAAATCGCTTCAGCATGCTCTCACCCACTGCTGGACAGTACAGGTATCCTTCCCCCTCCGCTGCATGGCCGGGCAGTTGCATCCAGCATGTACGAGTTAGAATCTTCGGGACTCGGAAACTCCGTGCGGACGGATCTAGCCACGGAAACCAGTGTCTGCCATGGCTGCATCGGAGAAGCTGTCAATGCGGAGGGAAACGAGGTGCCGTTTAGTTCACCCGGGCCTGTGGCGGGCCTGTGGTGGTGATGGTGTTGCGTGAAGCACTGCAGGTCACGGCGGAGATGCTGGATGTTCTTGATGGTCACTGGCCCTATTCGGAATCAGCTTCACCATGGACCACCACCTTTCGCAATGCTCGGATCCACACTCTTGAGCTCAGGTCGGTGCCATGATCGCGCAGGCCCCGGATGCAGCTTGCGCAGTTGCTGCAGCCCTGCAGCCCGTTGTTGCTGCTCTGCACAGGTCACTGAAGTCAAACTATTTGTTCGCCCCTGATCGTGCGGAGAGAGCCCTGATCTGTGCCGTCTTGAAAAGTCGCCTTACATGTTGTCAGGTTGCACCTCGCGAGAGTGCGGAATTGGATCGACGGAAAGCTTTGTCGGGGCCGAAAGAAATCACAAAGAATTGCGGACCTGCTACAAACCAAGGACAACAGTGGTGGCCAGCAGCACGATAGCAGTGGAACCTGCTTGGGCAGGAGACGTTTTCGCCCGAGCCAAAGTGCCATGCCCGAAGCGGCAATGCTTTTTACTGCCCATGTGAGTGGGCCACAGGCAAAGAGAGCGAAGCAAGCAAACGATGCCGCAGCCAAGCCGATCGAAAAGGCCCAGGGGGTTGTCGGTTTCGTTGCTTGATCTTATTCGGGAGTAGCCAGCCAGTGTGGGCAGGTTGACCAATTCGGGCGTGAGCTTGTGGAAATTGCAGCGCTCCGAGTTGTGAAGCAAGCTTGAAACAGAAAGCGAGCAACTCTTCTCTGGATGATCTTATGGCACACCAAGGCCCGCCCGAAGGGATTGAAGAAGAAGCTATACTCCTTTGCACGGAGCTGAGAGGTCTCGTCAAGCAGGCGTCGTGGACCCCATGACCTTCTGTAGAACGGATCCTGTCAATGTGCGCTTCCTTAATCTGTGTCGATCCGCCTGTGGGTTGATGAGAGCTTGGCACGCGCTGCCAATCTTGCTCCTCTGCCCACCGCCATTTCTTTTTTTTTCCTCCGCACAAGTCGTGCTTGATTATCCCTTTCAAGGTGCATCCATTGCCTTGTAGCTCCTATGCCGTTTTTTGTCTCGGACCTTCCTCTTGCTAGAGGATGGAAGACACCACCTGGGATCGATCTGATTGCCACAAGGCCACGAAATTGCAAAGACTGCGGATCACAAGCGGATAGAGGTCTACCTTCTCGAGGTTGCTACTCTGCCTTTTGCCCCTCTTACCATTTGCCACAAGGCCACGGTTTATGATGGAGCAGTATGGCATGTGGATTCCTCTCTGGCGAGATGTCGAAACCAGAGCCGTGGAAAGTCGTGCAAATGGGCAGAGCTTCTGGTCAGTGTGACGTTGTCAGACATCTCTATGTTATGCGCATGTCCCACCTTTCAAAAACACTCTCGTGCTTGATTCGAGATGGCAAAGTACATAAGAGCATGCATGCACATTTTCAGTAAAGAGGCAGGGAGTTTCTTATGTAATTGCATAGTTCAGTTCGTTTGCAATAACAGGTGGTGTCTGTCTAGCCAGCAATGCCCAAGACCTCATGCCCCCATGTCTGCCCGCAAATCTAATCAACCATCTCAATGAAAGCCCATGTTGAGGACCTTCCCGTGATCCCGGGTGGACACCTCAGACCTCATCAGAAATTCCACACGGTGTTTGGCTCATGCCATGGAGATCTACAGTAGGGTGCTCAGGTAAGGTCTGGGGAGACTACAGCAAGCAAGACCTGAAAGAGTTGGGTGTCATCTTCAAAGGCAGGAGCATGTTGGCATCCAATGTTTCCGGATCGGATGGACTTCAGGAAAGTTTGGCAACGAGACTGAAAACGCGGTGCTGCAGTCGCAGGTCGGGCTCTTTGGACTTCTTGCCTCGAGGGTTGATTCATCCTTCTTCGCGTGTGGACATGCGTAACACTGTTGGAGGTCTTAGCCGGCCCGGCAGATGCGGAGTACATTGAGCCCCTCCGATGCAATTCCGAAGCTGCGTGCCCTTTGCACAGCATTCTGCCATCACCTCCTCCTGAGCGCCAGGAGCATTAGATCCAAGAGCCGTGGCGGCTTTGGATCAACTTTTTGCGCATCTTTCCGGGGCTATAGAGCCGGCAAGTCACAGATGCTGGAGATCTTGTTCTTATCGGAGTGGGGTCTCGGCTACCTGCAAGGAATTACACTGAGGGCTACGGCATTCTTCGCTCGAGCCTCGGGGGAAGCCGAACAAAGCATGTCTGGGAATGAAGATGGTGAGAAGAGGCTGTCCGCAGGCAACGCATGGACTACAGGCTCGGGTGCAGTCTCAGGTGACCAGGAGTCACCAGGACAGATCGACCTCGAGTGGACGGATTTCGAGCGCAGACGGCGGACCTACTACAAGGCATGGAGCAAAAACGTCATGTGCAGTAGTCAACTCAATTGTGAATCTTCTTGCACCGGTGTCAGGTCCACAACTTCATGCGAGTCCTACGCGACCTTAGCAACAACGAGGATAAGAAGGACTGCACCTCCACAGCAGGATGTCGCCACACGACCCGATCATTCGATTACGAGAATTTAGAGTTAGAGTTACAGTACAGGGCGGGCCTGCTTGAAACCAAAAAGTGAATCAACGTCCCAGTCTTCGTGACAGGAGTGCGTCGTGGGAATTCCAGACCCGTAGACATCAGATTGAGACTATGATTCCCAAACCTTGAGTTGAGGCAGGTATGATCGTAGAGGGCTTTCTGTGCAGACCTTGAGAACCAGTTGAAAACTTGCGACGTCACCCCTCGAAGGTCGTTAACAAAGCGCTCTGGATTTTCGCTCACCGCCCGTGACTTGCGGAGGATGTACTCATCCTGTTCAGCACGCTGGAACCACAGTCACGGGCTTGGCAGCATTACCGGGAGCCATCGTAAGCCACGGGACTTGCCGTTACAGTAAAGGCTAGATCGTTGGATGGTTTCCCAACCCAACGGCAGTTGCCTTGGCCGCAGGGTGGGGAATCTGCAAAGTCTCTGGACGACCGTGCGAGATTCTCTGAAGTTGGGTCGATGATCATGGCTGTCCCACTCAGGCAGCAGCTAGCGTTTAGCTTCCACATGCGCCTGCCAGCTGTAGATCACATGCTCACTTTCGCAATCTTCGCGGTGATGCTAAAGGAGCAGCCGCCTTTGCGCTTGCACCTAGACCTCCTCTACTTTCAAGAGTGTCTCTGGAATGACCATCCCGCATCGAGCTATGCTTTCACGGTGCCTGAAAGCTGTAGAAGTTCCGAGCTTGTTTCAAAACTCTAAACACCAGCATGGGACGATAGCATGAACGGTTGTAAGAGAACCAGGCGGCTAGCAAATACGAGATGTGTGTCATTCCAGTTCATATCATTTTTCACGTAAACAAACACCACAGCTCGTGCGGATAAAACCTCGCATCGGGCGTCTGCTCAAGTCAATATCCATGGAGGCGATGTCAGACACATCACCTGCATGGATGCTCAAAGATTACAGCAGTTTCCACATGTGAAAGCATAGTTACAAGGCCAGAAAGTGAGCTGCTCTTCTTGTACGCAGGAGACAGTGGGGGATTCCATTGGCTACAAGATCAGCGGTGACAGCAAAGTGCGTCGAAGCCTATGTTTGCCGTGTGTCTCGTTGGTGTCGCTTTAGGCTGTACAGAAATAGCAGGGCAGAAAGCCACAACATGCTGGGGTTAATTCTTCTCATGAAAACCGATCCACTAGTGCCGCCTTTGTGCCTCATGGTACATCCAAATACGCAAGGCTAGACCTGCTCCCTGTTAAGCTGCTCTGGCGCTGCTTGTCATGTGGGCCCATAACAGAAGCAACCAAACAGGCTGCTACGGCTATCGCAGAAAAGTTCTGCACGTTAATCAGTCGCGAATTAGACAGGCAAGCACAACCTGTTCCATGATATGTTGTGCTTTCGACAGCTCGACGTACTCGCGGCCCCGAACATTTCCTCCGACCTTCTGTATGAGTAGTTCCAACATGGACATCCTGAAGTCTTGAAAATTTAGCCAGGGCTGAACCCAAAAGTGCAAAAAGTTGTAACGTCGACAGGGTTTGATGCCGCTGACGCTCTTCTTGTATACTTGGATTCAGGCCCCGGGAGGACCAAGTTGGTTTACGTGACGACAGGATACCTTCTCCAGGCCGCCGCACTGTTGCAGCTCACCTATGAGTTCTGTTAGTTACATTCGATAGAAGCCAGGGGACGTGGACGGGGTACTTCAGTCTCCTGTGTATCCTGCCATCCGAAGACACAGACAATCAGGGACTTCAACTTCTTTAGCGCATAGAGGCTTGAGCCTGAGAGCGATGGTGCTGGTAATTCTCGACACGTCTGGTCTGTGTCATGTTTCATTGGTCGACGAGGGTGCTGGCCTCAACGGCCCCTATCGAGTTGTTCCTTTTCCTTACTGAGTGCAGAAACTGGACTGATCGATAGCCCATGGTCCTCGCATGTCTCTTGATGAAGAGCCGGCAGTTTCGCAGAGCGCCAGTGCATCACCTTCCGAGTTTGAGGTGCCTGAAGTCCTGACATCTTAAGCTTTCTTGTCTCGTTCTTGCATCGATTTTTCTGTCGCCGTTACTGGCAAGCTGTCTTGTTCGTTGGTACAAGCACTCGTTAATTTTTATAGGCACTAGCCAGCGTCGAATCCTAAGACAGGCGTCACATGTCATGACCAACTCGCGCAGGTCTTGGTCAACAATCCAGAGCAGATCAGCTCGTACACCCACTTGATCTTGGATGAGGCACGTGCCAGGGAACCTTCAAAGCCTTTGCGGCCACCGCTCATCCGTCCTGCACAAACTTGTAGATTTGCCTTAGATTCGCAGATTGCACTCCTGGAGACGATGCATCCATTTTCGGCATCGGCAAGGTCCATGAACGGGACGTGGACTCGGACCTCCTCTCCTTGGTGGCCCTGGGCTTGGGTTTGGTCCCAGCTGTTCGCTGCAATGACCCCAGACTCTCTCGCTCTGGCCTGACGGGGAAGAGCAGGGATTGTGGTTTGGGAACGGCCTGATCATGCCGGAAAGCAGAAAGGTCAAGCTGCAGATGTCCGGCTATGGCTTCAAGCTCGTCATCATGTCTGCGACATTGCAGGCCTGTCCGAAATGCACCGAAATATACCGAAATGTACCGAAGCCGCGGTGCGCAGCGGGCTGGCAGGGAGACCTCTTCACCAGATACTTCTCTGAGAAGAAGATCAAGACGATCTTCGTCGGCGTGAAGAGGCGGGGCCCGCTAACACTCCAGACTTGAGAGATGCTGTTGGGTGCTGTGGGGCCTGGGCCTGTTGGGCCGTGGGTCATGCGGAGCCGCTTGTGACCCCCGATCTGCGACTGCCGTGATCTGATCTGTCACGCTCAAAGTACAGTAGTCAGGAAGTTTTCGAAGGGAGCGTTGGTCGCAGAAAATCCGAAATCCAACACGTCAGGATTCAGGACATAGCAGCTCTGCACTCCAGCATCGCAGCACCAGCACAGTCCTCTATGTGTCAAGACAAGAACTTAATGGGACCAGGCTCCCTGCGGCCCAGATGGGCTAAATGTGGCTTTAAGATGCGCGGCCGGCCATTAGGGCCCTACAGCGTCGGAGGCGTTGTCTGCGCCGTGGCTCTCCTGGTCGTCTTTGTGAAAAGCGGGCATCGGGTCAAAGCCACGCTGGCCTCGCTCGGGGCGTTGCTGGTCTTCTGGCGGCTGCGAGCGCGCTTGCACCGGGCCCCGAAAGCCTGCAAGCTGCGGAAGAGCGTGCACTTCAACATGAGAGTAGGTTGCATGTCCGTTCCCAACCTGTTGGACCTGCCTGAGAATCGCAAGGCCGCTTTGTGGTGGCAGCCGGATGATTTTGCAGAGTTCTTGAAGGTTCGGCTGGAGATTGCTAAGGCATATAAGACTGCTGCGCAGAGTCTAGGGGTGGAGATGCCAAGTGTTTGCAGTGTGGGGCCTCATGGCCGAAGGGCTTACGAGGCCATGGTCGAAGCATATCCGAGCCTGAAAGACGAGTCTCGGCGTGGTTTGGGCCTTGGCCGAAAGCGCCAGCGGGCCAAGAACCGGGACGCGTACATCGCAGCGGTGGTCAAGGAGCAGCAAAGGCAGCATGACCTTTCACGCTATGACGGGGAGGCCATAGCCGCGGTGGCCATGCGAGTTTCGCAGCAGGATCGCGACTATGCCCACTTCCTCGCAAAGATGTATTTCGAGCAGGACAGAGCTGATGAAGCCGGCACTACAGTCGATGCTGACATGACGGCAGCCCTCTTCAACTTCAACAATCCTGTCAGCAGTGTAGACGACCGTGGTTGCTCCAAAGAGACCATAAATGATGAGGAAGGCAACTCGCCCAGCCGTCAAAACACACAACAGCAGTACGGAGAGGATCGCTACACCGAGGAAGAGGTGAAGTGGGAGGGCACACCACAGGGCACCAAGCAAACGGTGGCTTTGACCAAAGGCTGGGGCCTTTCCAAAGACAAGCTGCAGGCGGCCGGCCTCAGTGCCACCGGCCACTCCTTGCTGAAGCGGTCAAGGGACGCTCCTTCTCACCAAGAAGACAGCGAACTCAGCAGCGCTGAAAGCGATGGTGTCGGCAGCGAATATGATTGAGTGAGCCTTTTGAACTTCGAGCAGTCCAAGCAGTTTAATGAGTCTAATTTACATCCAGTCTCACCATGGGCCCCCCTCCAATTTTCGCACGAACAGTTCTCGCACAGAGGAATAAAGATCGTGTTTTGCTTGGACTGTCCCGTGCATCCGGCTGCCCTCTTCGAGTGACAAACGTTTGAGAATCGTTTGACCATGAGGTATCCAGTTGAGGTTGTCCACATCGAGCAGCTCTTGGACAGATTCGGTGGAAGGTTGGAACCTCGATTGAACCGACTGCAGATGTGCAAGAGCCGTGATTTCGTTTGTCATACAGGTCGGGCGACTTCATGATGAAGTCTGAAGGAACGCGAGGCTACCAGGCTGGGTAGTTTGTGTCAGCTCGCAGGAAAGTTGTGAACCACATGGTGCGCACATGGAACCTGCTTCAAAAGTATGAGTTTGAAGACGCGCTTGCAGCCGGTTGCTCAAGCAAGTGCACAACGTGTGGGTTTGGAAACCTGCGCACGACACAGCAGGTCAGGCTCTCAATGTCTTGCAGCCCATAGCAAGCTGAAGCTCTTGGCACCCATACACTTTTGCTTTTTGCCGTCGTCATCGTTGTGCTTGACGCTTGATGTTTGCGGTTGGGTTGTTGGGATTGTTTGGGTTGTTTGGGGGTGGTGGTTGTTTTTGGGGTTGTTGGGGTTGTTGCTGCTGTCGTCGTCGTCGTCGCCGTCGTCATCCTCGTCGTCCTCGTCGTCGTCGTTGTCGTCGTGGTTGTTGTGGTTGTTGGTTCTTGGTTGCTGGTTGTCGTTTCTTGTTTCTTGTTGGTCGTTGTTATTTGCGTTGTTTGTTGCTTGTTGTGGCTGTCAGGTTGTTCCCTCGTGCCTCGAAAGGTCTGTCGAAATCTGGACTTTTCATTCGTCTTCCGAACCTTCGACAGGAGTGTTACTCACGGTGCTTTTCGATACCTACACTACACCCTTAACACCTCTTTTTGTTCGGGGTGGGATGTTTTTTGGGGTCTATCCTCGAAAACACCATCGGCTTCGTTCGCTTCAAACCGCCCGCATCTGGAAGGTTTTGTTTACACACTGCTTCAGTAGTTTGCATTCGGAGTGTAAGGCAGGACGTCGAAAACATCACTGTTCACCGCCCCCCTCTGCAAAAGAACCCACACCGGGGAGCCTAGCAAGGCATGTCGCTGCCATCGCCGGTAGTAGTGAGTGAGGGGCAAGCTACGGTATTGAAGGTACTACAGTGTTTCTAATTTCTATTGTTGCGCTCTTGGGTGGTTGGTGGTTGTTGATGGATGTTGGTTATTGTTTGAGGCTGCCAGTGGGTTGTTTGCTGCTATTGTTTGTGTACGAGCGTTTGTGCGTGCATAGGTGTAGGGGTGTGTGTGTGTGTGTGTGAACCTCCCTAGCACATGGGAGCAGAGGGTCACTCCTTACCGCTTGCATTTTCACAGTATTTTCAACGAAACACATGTGGACAAACACCATAACATTTGCAGGGGGACACAGCATGTCGCTGGGACTGTGTCCAACAAAGCAGTGACATGGGAGGAGAGGACTGATCATCCTCTTGTACCTGCGAGCTGAGCCCCCTGAGGCAGCAAGATTAGAAAACGCTGGCCCCCTGAGGCAGCAAGATTAGTGCATTTACAGTTTTCCACATCATTTGCTTGAACACACAGCCTTGCACGTTTGCCGCAATCTGACAAGTACTTGCAACAAGTACAACAGGCCTCTCTTTTTCCTCTTGCACTCGTGCTCTTGGCCGAATCAGTCAGTGTGACTATCGTGGGTCCCGAGACCCCTGAGCAGCGGCTTTCCGTCATGGCGCCGTGGTGTCCCTCCGAAAGGGAAACCGGTGATGAACCGGATGTTCAGACTTTCGTTCAGACCGATCAGATCTCCCGATGCTCTTTATGATTACTTTCTCTCTCTCTGATGCCTGCATGCGAGTCTGACATGAGCGCAGTTGCAGTAACGGTCGGCTAATGCGGTAATTGCGGCTAGTGAGCAGGTGCTACCTCGCTAGTCTGTCCCCTATTCGATCGCTTCTTTATTCCTCAGGGAATGCAAGGGCATGAGTTTCTGACATGAGTGCAGATGCTGTAACCTTCGTCTAATGCAAGTGGTTGCAGCTTCCTTCGGGAAGTAATCGGCCTCTCCTTTGCTTCTTCGACTTCTCTCAAGACAACAAGGCCTCGACAGCCACAGATTTGCATTTCTTGTGCGATCAATTACGTTTCACCATCATGTGGTATCCGCAACAGCAGCATCCGACAGTGCTGCAGCAAGGCACTGCCTTCCCAGGGACATTCCCACCTAACGTGGTGGCTACCCCACAGCCACTACATGACTACATGCATTTCAACAACAGTGGCATCTTACAGACCTTCCTACGGGCAATCCAGCCACAATCTACAACACATTTTTTGCATTGCATTGCATCCACTTAGCGAGGTCTGTTCGTCAATCAAATGACAAGAGGAAAACATCGCTGTAGTGTTCACCACAGTCAGAGACTGCGCACGTCAGCTGGGCTGGCGCGAACTCAATCACACGGGAATCAACTAAGCAAGTAGAAACAGCCAATCCTGCGACCCCTTAGTTTGAAAGGGGGATTGGCCCTAAGGGGAGAGTCCCTTAGATGGGCACTGCGTCTGCAGACGCAAAAATGCACGGGAACATCGGAGCAGCGTTCAGTCACTCTGCGGCTTCAGCAGGCTTGTCTCGGCGAGTCAAGCTGCGAACAAGTAGGCGGCCAGGCGGTGCCGCATCTTTGGATTCCGCCTTGAGCGAGGCCAAAGATAGCTGCATCCAAGTGAAAGCCTCTGTCCACTCATCACTGGCGGATTGTTGTGGGCGCAGCTTGAGGAGTGTTCTGCCATCCTTAATCACCTTGACATATGCGAGCTGGATGCTGTTATGCATGTCAGTGAGACCAGTCATAGCGTCATGCATGGTTGTGAACTTGGGCATTGCTTGACGACGATCCGGATCCTCCAACAACCACTTGGCCAGACCCGCGCCAACCGTGAGACGGGCAGGGCCGTGCGGATGTGGCTGGCCTTGTGGAGGTAGATGCTGCTTCCACTGATTCATGTGGCTCATGAGCACCGTGGCGAGCTCGCTCTCCTTCTCGAAAATCCAGGTGCGAGTACTCCAAGCCTCCATCTCCCTGATGCTGTGGTCGTGGCTGACAACGAGCTGACACACCTTGTCCAGCTTCAGGCTGAGTTCCTTGACTTGCTGCTCGAGAGGATTCATGCCCGCTGCCCGAGGCCCGTCCGAACGCGTGCGCTTGGGAGCCCGTGTTGTCGGGCTCGTCACCGCTGGCGGCTGCAGGAAGTCCATGCTCGGCATTTCGTACCGCGAAGAACTCAGCAATGGAGCGCTGGTTGAGAGTCGATGCAGCTGGGGGGCGCTGTGCTGGAGCTTGGGCCTGGGCTGCAATCCGTTGGCCGGCTAGAGCACCAGCATGTCCATGATTGTTGACAGGCTTGTCACAGGATTGCTTCTGAACATGTCTGCGTGCAGCACTTTTGCTTGTGAACTGCCTGCTGCAAATCGGACACTTTGTGTCCTGCAAAGCGTGCCGGAAGCGATGTTTGCTCACCATGTGTCCCTGCAGAGCACGGGCAGTGCGCCAAGGTCCACAGTCGCAAAGCTGGCAGCTGAAAACCGGAACTGGTGGTGCAACAACCGCAGGCGCCACAGCAGCCTCATCGTCTGTAGAAGCGTTGGCTTCGACCTGCGGCACGACCACGTCTGCAGCATCGTTGGCAGCTTGGGGGGAGCTCACCGTGCGAAGTCGACGCAAGGCAGCGACTGACACTTGCAGAAAACAAGTTTTCCAGTTACCGGAAAAACCAGAAAAACCAACAAGTACTGACTGCAGATGACGAAACAGCAGATGCAGAAAGCGAGGAGCATGCTGCGAAGGAGCACCTGTGCCGGGCATGAGTGTGTTGTGTAGCTTGTTGCTCACTCCGAAGAGCGCCGCCAGCTCAAGGCGGGTCTGCCCGTCTGGCTCGTAAAGGAGAGCTTTGCGCAACCACAAGAGTCTGCGAACACGTAGTTCTGAAGCCACAGTGGCCAAATTAGCCCGACGGCGCAAGCTGTCAATGGTGACGGAGCGGTGTTGAGGGTCACCAGCGACTGCACCGTATCCCTGTCGCCCAAAAAGTCGTCGAAGGAGCAACTCGCGAGCACTCTCAAGTGCTTGCTCATCAACCCTGCCGAGCGGGCGCACTTCCAATGCCGAAAGCAAGGCCTCATTTACCACAGCCTTGAAGACAAGAACTTTTCGAGGCAGAGGCACTTGACTGCGTTTAAAGAAACGGGCAAATCGGGCAAAGCCAGCCTTTGCAGATGCCACACGCTTGCGTATTTCAGCGCTGAGGGAACCAGTCGCATGGATCTGCGCGCCGAGGTACTTCACCACCAGCTTGGGCGGGTAGCAGGGCCAGTGCCCAGCGTGAGCATCGCGCGCTGCCTTATAGGCGCCCTTGCCACTGAAGGACAAAAGTGTTTCACCCTTACGCTCGTTCATCTGAAGATTCCGAGGTTGCAGGACGCCCTCAAGTGAGGCAAGATTCTGTGACGCTGTGGTAGCAAGCTGCTGGAGGTTGCGCCCGATTACAATCCGGATGAGATCGTCAGCATAAGCTGCGACGCCCAGAAAGAGTTGCTGGCCTGCATAGTCAACCAGGACAATCTACAACACATGTGGGCAAACAATGCCCCCACAGCAGTATCCCATTTTCCTACCACAACAACCCACACCACAACCACAGCCCCAAGCAACGCCATTCTCACCACTGATGCAACAACAGCCACCCCAGCAAATCATGCAGCCACACATGCCACAACACTATTTTCCCGCTGCACAGACACTCAGCCCCACAGCCGTGCAGCAGCCTCCCACCGCACCATTTGCTCACCCCACATTTTCGACACAGACCACCACGCAGAACATCAACACTCCACCACCACCACTGCCTCACACCTCCCCCTCTCACATGGACAACACCACAACCATTTCTCCTCCACCACCACCATCACAACCACCATCCACATCGACTCCGACAGTCACTGCCCACACCAACCCACCCGGCCCGACAACAACTACAACAACAGACAACCCAGCAGGGGATTTACAGAAGCTGGCTTCCCCTTTGCCTCGCCGACGCCACAAATCCCACCACAGACACCATCCCCGCGCACGCAGCTACCATCGACATGAGGACGCGCCCAAGCCAAGACGGCGACGCTCCCGGCGCAACAGCCGAAGCCGGAGCCGGAGCAATCGAAAAGCATCAGAACGCCGTCATCGACGATACAATGATGCCACCCCCAGCAGCCATCGTTCCCAC